CTTATGTTGGGAGAATACACTCCCACTGAGCTTACTGATAGCTGCCAAGTTTCAGCAAAAGGCCAGGGAAAATATCCTGGCATCGTTGGTCTGGTTATAGGATACCAGGGGTGCTGGTGTTTCTCTGACCCAGCAGGAGGCAGAGAAAATGAGTATGATCACGACACCCCCTGCTCTCTGGCAGCACCTGTGTGGTGTCCAGGGGATTCAGGGTACTCACTTCCTTATAGGTTGGATTATTTTATCCTGCTGGGAGGCTTGACCCAATGAAGGAATATCTCCCTGGGCATGTGGGACCTTGGAAATCTATAGAGGAGGTATAACAAATTCTCAGAGATCTGGGAATGAGACAGGTGATCTGTGCTCCTGTCTTTGAAGGTCCTGATCAGAACACATTCACTGCAGAGATAAAAGCCAAGATTCTCCAGTTTGCCCCCCAACACTGGTATTCATGCTGAGCCCGGTTATGAGATAAGATATTTACCATGTTGGGCAATCCATTGCTGAACTGCGGGAAACTGACAGGTCCTGGGAATGGACACGGGTGACTGGGAAGGCTAGAGATAGAGAGGAAGCCCAGAAATCCAAAAGGCTATCCCAACTCCCTACACAGGGTCCAGTCAGAATAACCTGGAAGCAAATATGGTATGATCTCATTGCTGCAGGGACCCTGCCTAAACAGATAGATTGGGTTGGCCCATAGAAAGCCTTAAAACCTGAGTAACACTTTAGACCTGTCTCATCTGCTCCTATCATCGCTGATGCCCCACCTGCTCCAGCAGAAGCCTCAGGGATACAGACCTATTTAGGATGGGTGCCCCCCTCATCCTGGGCATAAGATGCAGGCCAAGACTGCCTCTAGGGAAGGGCCATTGGAGGTGATCAGAGGTCCCTTGTTGAGCTCACTATTCATTGGTCCTCCAGACATACATAAAATGCTGACAGCTCTGGTGGGTACTGAGGCTAAATGTACTTTAATATATGGTAACCCTCAGAGGTTTCCTGCCCCCTTCAGTGCCATTGATAGTTATGCAGGACAGACAGTTATAGTCAGAAAGGTCCTCTTGGGCATTCCCCACCCACCCTGAGGTTATGAGGTTTTTATCTTTCCAATACCAGAGAACATATTGGACATTGATAGCCTACACGATGAAACTGCAAATCTCTGATACCTCCAGGTTAGAGTAATCAAACCCACGCTGAAGGGAAGTGCCAGTTGGGAGCCAATAAGCCTGCCATTCCCATGTAGAATGGTAAATATCAAACAATATAAACTGCTTGGGTGCATTGGGAAACCATCCAAGAACTACACTGGGTAGGTAGTTGACACCCTGCCCATAGTAGTTTCAACAGCCCAGGATGGCCAGTAAAAAAGCCAGATAGCTCATGGCAGATAACGATGGACTACTGGACACTAAATAAGGTAGTGTTCCCCATCCCCATCCATGTGTTTGTGCCCAACACTGATGCCATCTTAGACACCTTAGCCACAGTCCTAGGAATGTATCATGCTCTGCTGGACTTAGCAAATGCCTTTTTCAGTGTATCTCTGGCCACTGAGTCACAAGATCAGTGCCTTCACCTGGAAGGGGCAACAACGGACTTTTCAAGTGTTCCCCCAAGGTTACCTGCATAGCCCCACTGTATGTCATGGGATGGTAGCCCAAGACCTGTCCCTGTTCTCTTTCCCCACATCAATGAGATGGCAAGAACATACAGTATGTATGTGTGTGTGGGTGTGTATTTACACACATCAGTAGTTTTTATGTCATGGTATTACAGGGGATTTTATGTTTCCATTTTTAAAACATTGTGGTAAAATATACATAACACAACATTTACCACTGTTGTTGTAATGTTAACATATGAAGATTTGCCTTTGTTGCAGGACATCTTGCAGGCTCTGCTGGATCATCTGCGAGGGAGAGGTAAGGCAATGAACCCACAGAAAATTCAAGGCCCAGGCACCACTGTAAAGTTTCTGGGAGTTGTCTTGTTGGGTCAGACCAGTGTTGGCCCTGAAGCTGTGATTGATAAGATGCAAGCCTAGTATGAAAGAGGTGCACACCTTTGTAAGGATATTGGGGTTTATGGAGGACTTTTAGTCCCCACCTGGTGCAGTGCCTCCATGTCTTATATCACCTGATAAAGAGATGGAGACACTGCATCCCCACGTGTAGGCCTGGGGATCAGAGCAGTAAGCTACCTTTGAGAAGGCGGAAATACTAGTGAAGCAGACTAAAGTTCTGGGCATCTGACAAGTAGGGCTCCCATTTGAGTTAAATGTGTCCATGGCTCCAGAAGGTATGGATTGGGCACTATGGCAGAAACAAGAGATGGAGACAATACCCCCAAGATTTTGGTCTAAGCTCTGGAAATGGGCAGAAAGCTGATACAGCCCCATAGAGCAACAGCTCCCAGCAGAGCACACAGCACTCCTCCAGGTGGAGCCTCTCACCGAGGAGCAACCCATTGCGATGAGAACTTCCCTAGCAAGAGGTGGGTTAAATATATGTTCCTTCAACCCACCTTCACCATGGCTCAAACCCCCACTTGACTAAGTGGTGTGTCTATTTGCATCAGAGGAGTGCTCTGTCCACAAGACCACTGTCTCTAGAAATGGGGTGCTCCTAGGCCCTATGGAGGATATTTATCCTCTAGATGCCCCACCACTATTTCTATGGCAGACCCACAGCCTGTAAGGAAGAGGCAGGGGAGATTCCTGCTGATGCTTGGTATACAGATGGGCCTAGTCAAGGGAACCCACCCACACAGACTGCAGTCCTTTTCAGCCCAACACCAACACCATCTGGATGGAAACAGAAACAAACCATAGCAGTCAGTGGCCTGAGCTCAGAGCAGTCTGGCTAGTGATTGATTACTCATGAGCCCTGGCCGTTAACCCTCCTACACTGACAACTGGGCTGCTCTACAGGGATTAATCCTATGACTTGGACAATGGGAAGCTGAGGGGTGGATGGTTATGAATAATAATCTCTTGCTGGGTCAAGATACATGGAAAGACTTCGGGTCCATCCACAAGAGCCTAAGACAGCCCTCACTGTTTTCCATGTCCTGGCTCACAAGGTGCTGATACACCCTTACAATCAGGAAGCTGATGCCCTCACTCAGGTACAAGCTTTAGCTACTGAGGCTTCAATAGATACAGCATATTGAGCACATAGAAAGAGTGGCCATTGCAATGCCCAGGTGGAATGGCATATTGCCAGGGATGTTAGATTGCCCTTGGTTAATGCATCAAGAGCCTGTCCTGTATGTTCTAAACAACACCCAAGGCAACTGCCAAAAGTATATCTGGGACCATTCACTGGAGTTCCCAACTGGTGAGGGATTGGCAAATTGATTATATCCCTCCTTCCCCCACGAGTGAGGGTTCTAAATATGACTGGTTTATATGGACACTGCATCTGGCTTAACCCAAGCTTTTTCCTGCCACCATATAAACCAGGCTGCCACCATTAGAGGATTAGAGAAACTGAGTACTGTGTATAGATACCCTCATTAAATAGATAGTAATTGGGCGTTACATCTCAAAGGTCATAATATGCCAGACTAGGCAAAAAACATACCATTAAGTGGAAGTTTCATCTCTCCTATAACACACAAGTAGCAGGGTTAATAGAAAAAAATGGATTGGGGCCCCTGGGTGGCTCAGTCGTTAAGCGTCTGTCTGCCTTTGGCTCAGGTCATGATCCCAGGGTCCTGCTCAGAAGGAAGCCTTCTTCCCCTTCTCCCACTCCGTCTGCTTGTGTTCCCTTTCTCGCTGTGTCTCTCTCTGTCAAATACATAAGTAAAATCTTTAAAAAGAAAAGAAAAAAATGGATTATTAAAGCAACAGATTGAACTGTTAACAGGTAAAACCACCTTGGCCAGATGTACCACTGTTTTATTCAGGCATGGTAAGACACACAGATACAGAAATGATAGTCATAAAGAAAGAAGTTTATACTCACAGATCCCTAGAAACAGAAGGTATGGCACACCACTCAGGGCCTTACGGAGAAGGACCAGGATTGATCAGGAGACAGAAGAGGAGGAGAGAACATGGTCCAGAGCCTTTATTGGGTCTTCATGGGAAGGAATGGGTGAATCGGGGTAAATATAATGAATAAGTTTAGGATTGGATAATTTAAATAATTTTGGTGGGCTACGGGCTATAGGCGTGGTTCCTGGGTGTCCAGTACCTGGTCCTGGATTGATTTAGGGCAAAGGAATATTGCCTTGGTGTGTGAGTTTGATAAACGACATGGTTGGGGGTGTGGGCTCTGGATTGGTTTGTTTGTATATCAAAGACACTCTCATAAAGTAGATTGCAATCTTTTTTCTTAGCGTTGATCATGCAGTGCTTTTGGAATTAAAATATATATAATTAAAAGGTATATTGCATACATATAAAATTAACACCAAAACATCAATGCTTTATATCCCCTGGTGATGGGATTATGGATTTGTTTGTTGGAGAGTAGGGTCAGATTTTCTACAACGTGAACATGTTAGCAGCGACTAATAACTTTTTTTTTAAGGAAAGAGAAAAAAGGTGTAGTGGGGTGCTCCAAAGCTGAGAGCCAGAACCTCGTGTGTCCTTCCGCAGACCAGGGTACACCTGCTGGGCACTCCGCCTTGCACCTGGCCTTGGGCGGGGCTCCAGGTGTACGCTTTTTACGTCGCCGGCTGGACTTCTAAATCAGAGACCGCGCGCCGCAGAGGATTCTGGGAAGTGTAGTCCGGGCCCTCCCGAGTCGCCCATTTCCGCTTCCGGCCACCGCAGCGCTGCCATAATTTCTTCTGCGATGGTGAGTAGGTTATGGGACGTGGGGCTTCTTGGAAGTCTTCGTTCCGGCCGCAGGGACAGGGGCCGGGTGTTTAGGATCTGGGGGAAGGGGACGTGTGGCGGAGGTCAGAGCCAGGGGACTTCGTCAGCTCCGCCTGGCGAAGGAGAGGTTTGAGGAGGCGGATGCCCTGGGCATCCCGGGTTGGGATGGGGGGCGGGGCTCGGGCAGCAGCGCTGGGCACCCCCTCCCCCAGACTTGGAAGGAGCAGTTCCAGGTCAGCAGTTGTGGCTTTGAGACCGGCATCGCTCGGTTTGGGAGACTCCAGTGCAGGCAGTCTCCGATTGACGATATCTGGACTTCTTTCATGGTAGCCGCACACCCACTTCTGTATGAATTTCAGACTTTTCTGTGAAGTCATTTCCATAAGGAGCTGCAGAAGTTGAATTTTCATGTTCTGTATGTGTTCCCTTGAGAGTTATTAAGCGCCGTACAAGTTCTAAGCGGTTATTTTGCTGATGTGGTGGTGCTAGGTCTGTTTTTTTTTACAGCGTCCGAGGCACACGGGTTGAATTCCACTGTGTCACACAGCCTAGGAGAGTCACAGCTCTTAATTCAGATTTTTTTTTTAAATAGTAGATTTTTAACCCATATTGCATGAATCTTTGTGTATGACTTAAAGGAGGGGTGCATAAGACTTTTTCCAATTGTTCCAACTCCATAGGCTGAAAAGACTCTTCGCATTGATCTATTTCTCCACTGTTGTCAATATCACTATTTCTTGGAATGCCTGGGTGGCCCAGTTAAGCGTCTGCCTTCAACTCCGGTCATGATCTCAGGGTCCTGGGATCGAGCCCCTGCATCCGGCTCCTTGCTCAGTGGGGAGCCTGCTTTTCCCTTTGTCGCTCCCCCTGCTTGTGCGCTCTCTCTGTCTGACAAATAAATAAAATCTTTTTAAAAATACCACTATTTCTTGATTACTGTAGCTTTAGAATAAATCTTGAAGTCAGAAAGAATGAGTCCAAATTTTGTCCAGAGTTTTCCTTCTTTGAGTAGGATTGACTATTCTAGTTTTTTTTTTTTATTTCAATATATATTTTAGTATCAGCATGTCAAATTTTGCAAAAAGATGGAGATTTTGTTGAGATTTTGCTTGAGATTGCATCGGAGAGAACAGATAACAACCTGGAGTCTTTAACTGCATGAACATGGTATATCTTTAGGTATATATTTAGGCGTTTAAAAATAGTTCTAAACATACACAGCTATGTTAGTTTCAGGCGTATAATGATTCAACAGTTCTGTACATTGTTCAGTGCTCATCAAGATAGGTGTCCTCTCATTCCACCCACCTCTCCATGGCAACCACCAGCTTGTTTTTTTCTTTGTTCTTTTGTGTTTTTTCTTAAATTCCATATTTAAGGGAAATAATATGGTATTTGTCTTTCTCTAGCTGATTCATTTCTCTTAGCATTATACCCTCGAGGTCCATCCATGTTGTTGGGAATGGCAAGATTTCACCCTTTTGTATGGCTGAGTAATATTTCATTGTATATACAAATACCACATCTTTAGCCATCTGTGGCTGGACACTTGGGTTGCTGCCATAATTTGGCTATTGTAAATAATGCTGCAGTAAACACAGGGGTGCATATATCTGCTCAAATTAGTGTTTTTGTTTCTTAGGTAAAAACCACTAATAGAATTAGTGGATCATATGGTAGTTCTATTTTTAATTCTTTGAGGAACCTCCATACTGCTTTCTTTCCACAGTGGCTGCACCAATCTGTATTACCAGGATTCCTTTTTCTCCACATCTTCACTGACACTTGTTACTTTGTCTTTTTGCTTCTAGCCATTCTGACAGATGTAAGGTGATAGCTCATTGTGGTTTTGATTTTTATTTTCCTGATGAGTGATGTTGAGCATCTTTTCATGTGTCTGTGGGCCCATCTGACTGTCTCCTGAGAGCTACAGTGAATGCAGGCTTGTAGACAAGGCCCACGGCAGGAATGGCGTGGGTCCTCTGTTTGAGCCCTGGAGGGAGGGAGGGAGGGAGGTCCCCTTCCTGGTGGTAGGAGTAGATTACAGGAAGACTAGATTACATTCAGCTTGCACTCGGAGATTTCTCCCTCTTGTGTGTTGGGAAGGGTGATAAAATCATGTTACCTCCTGGCTCATTTTTATTTCATGGCCTTGCCTTCTTGGGACTGTTCCTTTCTCAGAGAGAATTGCATGGAAGAGAAAGGAATAACCCCCGGTCTCTTCAGCTCCAAGTGAGTAGAATTTTGGTTTCTTGTTATTTTATGGCAATGCCAGCTCTCTTCCCAAACAAGGGCCTGCTCTCCTGACCTTACTCTTCATACCGTGGTCTTGACAAATGCCCATTCAGGCCCCTCAGCCATGGCTGCCTTCCCCCCAGAAATGTTTTTTTTTTCCCTAAAGTTGGGGGAACTTCCTGGTGTCTTGATTTAGCCTGGCTTCTGTTATTGTCATTTAGTCAGTAAATCACTCAGGCTTACACTGCTTCAGGGCTGTGCTAGGTACAGGGAAGAAATAATTATAGTAACTGTAATGGTATGCATTAACTAAGTGCTTGTTATATACCAGTTATGCTGAGGTGTTATAACCGGAAGTCAGGGCCTTTGCACCTGCCCCTGCCTCTGTTCTCTTCCCATCCCAAACCTTTGCACGGCTGATTTATTTTCATGCAGGCCTTGGAGACTGTCCTCGACAACCCGATTAAGGCTGCCCCTCCCACACCTGCCACCTGTGTTCGGTCCCAGAGAACTTATGTTCTGGTTCGTAAATAGTTGGTCTTATTTTCTTCATGGCCCTTTTTGTACTCAGAAAGCACCTTATTTGTAGATTTGTTTACCCACCAGAAGGCAAGCCCTGTAAGAACAAGTACCTTGTCCATCTTATTTGCTTCAGTGTCCGCAGTGTTTATTATAACATCTGAAATAAAAACAAATGGGTGCCTGTCTTCCTAGGTTAGTGCTAGGATGAATGAATACCAGCAATGATAGCAGTTGGCTGAGGATTTTCAGTGTGCCCCGTACTAGGCATGAGCTTTATTCAAATAGGTATCCATGTGTATGTTTGTGAGAGAGAAAGACTGAATTCTTCCAACTCTGCGAGTAAGAAGTACTGTCTTCACAGCAGAAAGAACAGACTTCTTCAGAGATTTGTCTCTCTTCTAGTGTTCGCACAGCTACAAAGTGGCTGAGCCAGAACGTACCCCCAGGCCGTTTGACCACTCCAGTATTAAGAGTCAAGACCTGAACCTCCCCACCCTGCCTCTCGTCTGGCTGTCTGGATTGAAACACCATAATTTACCTGTTTTCCTTAAACTTCAACTCCAGACTCCTGTTTGATTTCTCCTTTTCATCCGCACATGTAATCATTCATCTAGTCCTGTTATTTCTACCTTGCCAGTGTCTCTTACTCCCATTACCGGTGATATTAGTCATCTTCTTTCCCTCCACATTGTGAGCTCCATATGGTAAAAGAGTATCTTTCTTTAAACCTAAGCGCCTGACACATAGTAGAATATCAGTGAATGTGTGCTGTCTTCCCAGCTAGGATGTCAGCTCCTCGAGCGCAGTCCTTGCCTGCCCTGATCACCACTATGTCCCAACAGGCCCAGCGTGGTCCTTAGCCTGTAACTGACTAAGCTAACACATGGCAAAACAAAACCCTTCTGCTCTGGAGCTGGTATCAAAGAACCCAGGATCCCAGGATCAGCAGGCTGAGTTCACTTTATTCCCAGTTTCCGTTTAAGTATGTATTGGGTACCTACATTGTGCCCAGAGCAGACTAAAATCCCAGCCCTCATAGAGCTCCTATTCTCGTGGGTACAGAACGGTAGTAAACAAGACACACAGATGGTAGGTTAGGTGATAAGTGGAAAAATGAAGCAGGGAAGATGCTTTGGGAGGACTGGCAGAGAGACTTGCAATCATAAGTAGGATAATCAGGGATGATTTCAGTAAAAAGGTGGTGATTTCACTGGAAAGGTGGTGAGCAGGGACCCAAAGGAAGTGAGAGGCCCGTGGCACTGGGGAAAGGGAACGGCAGTGAAGGCCCCAAGGTGGGGGCATGACTGACTGGTCTATGTGAAGAACAGAAAGGAGGCCAGAGAGGCTGAGCAGAATGAGAAAGAGGAAGGATAAATGGGAAACTGGGTATTGGGAGGTCAGATAGTGTAGGGTCTTTTGGACATTGAAAGGACTTTAGTGAAGGTTTTGAGTGAGGTGAAGTTCTTGGCCAGAGGAGTGACATACCTTTACTTGTATATTTAAAAGATCATTCTGGCTGGGGCGCCTGGGTGGTGTAGTCAATTAAGCATCCGACTCTTGATTTTAGCTCAGGTCATGATCTCAGGGTCATGTGGGCCCTGCATCAGGTTCTGCACTCAGCGGGGAGCCTGCTTGAGATTCTCTCTCCCCCTCTGCCCCTCCTCCTGTGCGCCTGCACTCCGTTGCGCGCGTGCTCTCTTTCTCTCTCAAATAAATAAATAAATCTTCAAAAAAAAAAAAAAAGATCATCTCGGCTGCCGTGTAGGAAGTAGATTGTAGGGGGACAGGAATAGAAGCAGAGGGACCAGTTAGGAGTCAATCACAGTAGTTAAGGCAAGAGATGACGGTGGTTTGGACTGTAATAGAGAATTGGTCAGATGCTGGCGATCATTTGAAGGTTTTTGCTGATGGTTGGATGTGGTGTATGAAAAAGAGAAGAAAAAAATCAAAGATCATTTCAAAATATGTGGCCGGCTTATTTGAAAAGACAAATCTGGTGTTTGGTTTTGGGCGAGGTAAGTCTGAGACATCTTTTAGACAGCCAAGTGGACATGTCAAGTTGGCCTTGAGTCATCGGCATATGGACACTTTCTGATGTCCCGAGGCTGGATGTGTTCACTGAGGAAGTGAATGAGTAGAGATAGAGAAGAACTTCATGCACTAAAGCTTGAGGCAGTTCTGATTTTTGGAGGTCGGGGATATGAGGAGGAACCACAGGAAATTCTGTATAAACTAGAAACCCCTGGAAGCTCCGAAAGCCAGCCAGTCAGAGGAAGCTCGAGGGTGTTAGTACCTGTAAACCGTGGGCCTGGAGAAGCCGTATCAGCATCACCTGGGAATTTGTTAGAAACAGAATCTTGCGCTCCACTGCGGAGCTTCTAAATCAGAATCTTTGGAGGTGGGCTCCAGCAGTCTGTTTCAACAATCTCTCGTGGTGATTTTTGAGCAGGCTAAGGTTTCTGGAGCACAATCCTGGAAGGTCCTGAGGAGTTGAATTTCAATGGCATTGGTCTGGAGGACCCTGTTACAGACTTTTGTCCTCCCCGTAGGAGGTTAGTAGGTGGCCCAGTCTTGCACACTTGCTTCAGAGGGCAGTCCCTCATGCAGGGCAGTGCACAAATCGTGGGAGACAGGGAGGCACTTGCCGGAGCGGGCTAGGCAAGTGGTCTGGGACCGACGGTTATGGGGCAAAGTGGAGACCTGAGCTCCTGAAGCCGTCCACTGTGGGAGTATCTTGGAGTGGGCCCCCCAAGGGTGCGTATCTGCTTGTCTGAAACTGCCCTGTGGCTTGGGTCTCAGGAGAAAGCAGATCAGGCAAAGAGGGGAAAGGAGGGAACTCACGGTCCGTGTGTTTGCGTTACCTACTGACTGGTTCCGAGAGTTCCGGTCGTCTCTGGGCTTCGCATCCCATTGATGGAATTTGTTAAACGTGTCCAATGTGCCAGGCCTGTGAAAAATGGAGAACACGAATAAAGGAAGAAGGCCCCATTCCATTGATGATTTGGAGATCTCTCTCTCTCTTTTTTAAAGATTTATTTCAGAAGGGGGGGAGAGAGAGAGAGCACAAGAGAGGGGAGGGGCAGAGGGAGAGACTCCTGAAGCAGACTCCCCACTTAGTGCAACACAGGGCTTGATCCCAGGACCCTGAGATCATGACCTGAGCCAAAATCAAGAGTCAGCTGCTTAACCAACTGAGCCCCCTTGGCGCCCTGATGATGTAGAGATCTTTTTTTTTTTTTTTAAAGATTTTTATTTATTTATTTGACAGAGACAGAGACAGCGAGAGCAGGAACACAGCAGGGGGAGTGGGAGGGGGAGAAGCAGGCTTCCCGCCGAGCAGGGAGCCCGATGCGGGGCTCGATCCCAGGACCCTGGGATCATGACCTGAGCCGAAGGCAGTCACTTAACCAACTGAGCCACCCAGGCGCCCTTTGATGATGTAGAGATCTTAACAGGGCCCTGTGTTAAAGGTGGCAAGCCAGCAACTTAAAGTGGTTCTGGGTCCCAGAGTGACTAATTCAATCTGGTGGCAGCAGGAGAAGGTCTCACTTAGAAAAGGAGCTCTTGAACTCCAGACGATGGGCATAATGCAGGGGGTTCATGAGCTTGAGTGGGGAAAAAATATGTACTAGTTGAACTGAAAATTAGCATTTCCTGTAATTATGAATGCAGGCGACAAACCACAATAGTATCAGAACCCATGAATCTGTTATCCATGTAAATCATAGATATTTTTATATTATAGTTGGTGCAGGTGTTTCAAAATATTACTTATGCTCATTACTATTTTGAAAATACAGTAGTTAATTAATTCTTGATATTTAATGTGTAAAAAGAAGCACATCCCTGGCGTTTTATTATTTTTGAATGTTGTATTCTAGTATAATTAGGCTTTAAAGTCATCCTGTGTGTTTTATTTTATTCATTTACAACATTATTCTAAGTAAGAGTCCGTAAGTATCAACAGACTGCCAAATCAGGCCATAGAACAGAAAAGATCACAAACTCTGGTTTAGAAGACCTTTGCTAGCCTGAATCTTGATTTATAGAATCCTTGAGGACAGGGATTTTTTTTTTAAGTTTATTATTTTTATTTTTATTATTATTTTTTGGTTATCTCTACACCCAACGTGGGGCTCAAAGTCATGACCCTGAGGTCGAGAGTAGCACGCTCTTCCCACTGAGCCAGCCAGGCGCCCCGAAGACAGGTATTTTTCATCGTTTTTATTTCTGCAGTGCTCACAGTATCGCATGAGTAAAGCGTTCACACTCCAGATTCTCCTTCACAAAACACATGTCTTGCGTCTGTGGCGTCTGCACCCTTCTGTAGGGCCCTGTGTCTCACTGGAACACTTCTGCTGATAGGCCCTCCCGCGAAACTTCTCGGACTGTCTTCAGCCATCTGCAGTGTCCTTGACCCTGTGGACCATGAGTCTCTCCAGAGCAGGGACTATGCATATGGTGACTCAGTAAGCGTCCACCAAACGAATGGTATTCAGAGGGTGTGCACCATACTGGAGACCCAGAGCTGTGGGGGCCAGAAGAAAGGACTGGATAAATTCGAGTTCCCCTCTTGAGCCCACAGGTCCCTGGAACATGGGAACCAACCAGGCTGTGGAGCGTGAAGGTGGAGGCAGGTCCTTCCTTCTGAGCCCAGGAAGCCATGTGATGCTCCTTGTCAGAACTTGGGGAGCCTCAAGAATGAAGAAGGCCCGGATCTTCTGCTTCTCCGGATTAGGAAGATCAGAGGAGAAATAAAAGTGCTTCCACTCTGGGAAAACTTAGGAGAGGCGATCATGGAGACTTGGACCTCAAGGCCTGGGGAGAGAGGTGAGAGTTCAGGAAGGGTGTGTGGCGGGGGAGGATCGGAGCCGAGTGTGGAGAGAGGACAAGTGAGGTGGAGGAGAAGAATCCAGTGTGTGAAGCAGCAGACCTTGCTGGGGTCTCAGGTGATGGTCCGTGAGCCCAGGCGGGAGCCCCCTCGTCTCATGGCTTCCTTCTCCTGCAGCTGTCCGCTCTCAAGCCTCAGCCCTTTCTCAGGATGGGGAGGACAAGACCGAGTTTCAGGTGGGTTGAAATCTCTTTTCTCTCCAGAAATAACACGCCAGGCATCAGAGTGTAAAAATATCCCCCTCCCTTGGTAAAAGGGAACAGAGAAAACAATGTATTGGGCGAGTAATGACATTGCTCATTGCATTTATCCACAAAGTAGCCATGTGAGAGAGATGATAGGATCCGGGGTTAGAAAGGAAGAAATGAGCAGGGAATCCTGGATTTGAACCTGGGTCGGTATGGCTGTAATTTGCCATTCTTCTCTACATGCTCCTCCCAATAAATAATCATTTCATCTCAGGGCCTGAGCCTAAATTATGCAGAGAGGTGACTCTCCAGATAATGAATTCTTCTTCTCTTAGTTTTTCTCCTCTGTGGACCTTTCTGTGATTCATTTACAGATGTTATAGTCTCCAGATTATACACCCTACCAAAAAGTACCCCATGAACAAGGTTAAAAGAGAGCATAATCGGGGAAAAGACATTTCATCTATGACAAAATTATAAATTATAGTATCTTTATTTTTGAAAGAGAGTTTCAAATGCCCAAGCCTTCTTGTTCAGAAAGGAAGAAAAGAAGAAACACAAATGGCCAATAATTATATGAAAAGATGATCAACCTCTATTAGTCAAAGCAGTACAGATTCAAACAAGGTAGGATTCTTTTTTTTTTTTAGCAGATGACCAAAGATTTGAAAGATCAGCATTCACTGTGAACCCAGTGGAGAAACAGGTACTTGCACACATTTGCAACTTTCTGGAAGTTCCGCATGCGTCTCCTCCAGTATTCCCCACTCTACAAGTTCATTCTAAATCAGAGCAAGTGTCTGCAGAATGATCATTGCAGTGTTGTTCATAACAGCAAAGAAAGAAAAAAAATGTCATGGAGTGGAGTCCATGTCCATCCATTGGATTGGTGGATTATTATGGTTTCACTTGTTCTCTTGTCTAGATTTTGTGCTGCTCTCCGATGAGATAAAGTGGATGAAACTATTAGGATGTAGAAAGATGTGCACATGCTCATGCTTTCTCTCTCTCTCTCTCACACACACACACACAAATACACACACACACGGTAGATACATGCCTACGTGTTAACTTTTCCTTTAAGTCGAAAGAAAAAGAAATCAAAGCAATTGTAAAATTTTAAGTACATATTTTTTCAGCACATATGAGATTATTTTATAAAGCTTTCTTTTTTTTATGGAAAGACATAGAAAAAATTGGAAACTTTGAGTCATTTTTATATTATGCTTTAATTTTAAATGTTACTGATGAACTTCCTACTCTGAGGGCTGAAGAAATGAACACTTCTTTACTTCCCACTGTCTCCCGATATGATGCTGTTTTTACTGTCATTACCTTCTGATTTGTCACCACCGATTCCCACAGTGGACTTGTCTCAGTTCTGTGTCTAGAGGTCATTGTCCACCACGTGTCCTTTTTACTCGTTTCTTCATTCCTGCCTTCATTTTGATTTATCTGTTGGTTGCCTTAATGTGACTCCACAATTTGCTTTTCCCAGAGAAGACTTGTGGAGGCTGTACGCACTGAGCATTCCCATGCTGAAGAATGTCTGTTCGCTTTATGGCCAAATGGCAAATTGCCTAAGCTGAAAATTCTTCATTCATACCTTGAGAACTGGCATTCAGTCTTGGGCTGGTCTTTTTCTCATGGCTTCTCCATTCATCTTCTGGTGAACAGAGTTTATTCTGACTTACTAGTTACTTTAGCATTTTTTTCCCCCCGGAAAGGTCTGTTGTGTTTATATTGACAGCAGCTTGGCTGAGTGTCATTTGCAAGGGTCACCCCTTTCTGCCCTTGCTCTGCGATCTTCTGACATTAATTCTTTTCCTGCCTGGATGTCTACTGTTACTATTATTTTATTCATTTGGACCTCCTGGAACTCCTGTTATTAAAGGTGTAACTTCTGGATCTATCTTCCCTATCCTTTACCTTTTATTCTCTTTGGAATTTTCCATCATATTCCAGGAGGCTGCTCTGCTTCATTCACTGACTTCTGCTTCAGTGATGTTCCTTCTTCTGGTTAGCGCATCTCTTGAGGTTGTATTTTCCCGTAATCATAGCAGTGATTTTTTTTTTTTTACACACTTCTGAGAATTCCTTTTTTTTTTTTAAGATTTTTATTTCTTTATTTGACACAGAGAGAGAGCACAAGTAGGCAGAGCAGCAGGCAGAAGGAGAGGGAGAAACAGGCTCTCTGCTGAGCAGAGAGCCCGATGCGGGGCTTGATCCCAGGACCCTGAGATCATGACCTGAGCCGAAGGCAGATCCTTAACCGACTGCGCCACCCAGGTGCCCATACACTTCTGAGAATTCTGATTAAATTTTTTTTGGCAAGATTTTCCCCCAAGGCTTTCTCAGTACTAAACATTTTTGCTAATCTGATGGAGCTGGGTGCGTGGCTAAGACCTCTCATGTATTTCGCAGTTCGTCCCACAGTGGGTGCATGATGACCATCTTCCATATGTTTGCTGCAGTTGTGTTTTCTCATCTGAGGATTGCTTATGAAAGGCTTTCGCCCATTTGCTTTAATTAATGAAAGGAGCTCTTTCAAGAGTTGGGTTGTTAACTCACCCATCAAAAGTGTTAACAGTTAACTTTCAATCTTGACTTTGTGAATGGTGAGTTGACCATAAAGAAGTGTAACATTTTCGCCTAGTTAAATGATTTGTTAGTTCCCTTTTGAAAATCTGGTTCCATATCTAGCCTTACCCGTTCTAAGCTTAATCACAAAAAGGCACGTAAATGGGTTTTTATTTAGATTTTAAAAACGTTTTAATCTCTAATATGGCTGTAACTTGTTTTTGTAAGAGGTGTAAGGTTGACAATTTCATTTTCTTCAAGATGGATAGCCAATCATGACGGTGCCATTTATTATATTTATCATTCATTTGCAGGTCAACTAAAGTACTACTCTTATCATTTATGTATTTTGTATATATTTATACATGTACATGTATATGTATTTAATAGGTATATATATATATATATATATATACCTATAGGTATATACACATATATACATATATATATACACATACACATATATATATACCTATATATTGACTTAGCTTTCCTCTAATGGGACTGTTCCTGCATTCTGTACTCTGGTCCACTGAGTTACTTGTATGTCTCTGTATTGTTTTACTATTTATATTGAATATGTACTTTTTTTTTTTAATATTTTATTTATTTCACAGAGAGAGACACAGCGAGAGAGGGAACACAAGCAGGGGGAGTGGGAGAGGGAGAAGCAGGCTTCCCGCTGAGCAGGGAGCCCGATGCGGGGCTCGATCCCAGGACCCCGGGATCATGACCTGAGCCGAAGGCAGACGCTTAACAACTGAGCCACCCAAGGTGCCCCTTGAATATGTACTTTTGAAGTTCAGAAGTTATTATTCCTCCTTTCCCTATTCATCCAGCAAATATTTGTTGGACACCTACTATGGGCCAAACATTATTCTAAGCCCTGGTGATATATCAGAGAGCAAAACAGATAAAATGCCCCTGCTTTCATGGGGCTGGCATTCTAGAAGGGAGAGAGGTAGCAGAAAGGTTAAAAACAAGATCACTGCTCTCAAGTGTCTTGAGGGGCTTAGGCCGGGTGAATTGAGAGAAGGTTCCTGCAGTCATCCAAGCAAAGGCTGATGACGAGTCGGATTAGAGAGGTGGAAGTTATGACGGGGAGAAACGGAGAGATTTAAAGTCTACTTTGGAATAATAATTGGCAGAATTTTTTTTTTTTTAATGAATTAGATGTAGGAAATAAGAAAAAGGAAAGAATCAAGGCTGCCTTGAAGGTCGATGGTACTTGTGTTTACCCACGTTGGGGAGGTCAGAACTATTTGGGAGGAAGGACTCACTTCTGATTGGGCTGTTTCTGCTTCACGATACCTTTAGACACCCAGGTGGTGGTTGGAGTCACCAGGGCTCAGTGTAGACGGCAGGGCTGGATTTAAAGATTCGGGAGATAGTGGCAGGTCTACATCGGTTTAATTAATTGTCAGAGCGCCTCTGGCCCAAGCTTTCTCCCGACCGTTACACTGCCTCTAGTCTTGGGATTGATCTAGGATTGTGCTTGGAAGTGTGCTCTCTTGGTGGCACTCCTTTTCCAAAATGGGGAGGTGGGTTCCTCTGGCCTGGCCCCTCTGATCTCACTGGGGCAGCAGAATAGTAGGGTGGTTTCCGCATGGTTAGCCAGGCTGCCGGAGTTCAGTCCTGACTCACCTCTTGTTAGATGTATGATCTTCGACAAATAATATTCCCTTTCTGAGACCCCAGGTTTCTCATCAGTGAAGCGGAGATAGCACTTGTCACTACCTTGTGAGTAGTTACTGATAGTAGAGCCGATGAGAAAACATTCCCGACACTCCAGAAAGTTCTCATTTTCCATGAGTTCTGTGAGGATTAAGTGAGATCAATCATATAAAAATACTTAGGCTAGAGGGATGCCTGGGTGGCCCAGTTGGTTAAGCATCTGCCTTCGGCTCAGGTCATGATGCCAGGGTCCTAGGATGGAGCCCTACGTCGGGCTCCCTGCTCGGGGGGGGAGTCTGCTTCTCCCTCTGCCGCTGCTCCCCCTGTTCATGCTCTGACAAGTAAATAAATCTTTAAAAAATACTAAGGCTAGAGCCTGCCTTACAGTAGTTTTTCTGTAAATATAAGGTATTAATATCATCTGCTTTATAGACTCATTTCTGGTGCTCTGGTGACTCACACCTTGGCCTTTATAGTTGTTAAGGTTTAGTGGCTCTGGAACTAGACTCTGCGTTCAGCCTGAACTAGACCTCTGTCTCTAACTGGCTGTGAGACCATGGCCAGGTTACTTTACCTCCTGGTTTAGGGGTTCCTGAGACCACCCCCATGTTCAGAGATTTGCCAGACCCAAGGGGCTCAGTGTGTAGTTGTATTCAGGGCTACGATTTGTTAGAGCAGCATACCTGTTTGCACCTGGCTTCCTCCAGACTTCACCCCACAGGGCTTTTCCCTTTGCTGATTTTGCTTTGTTTTTTCAACCCCACTAAGTCTTAGCTTGTGTAGATGTTGCAGAATTTTACTTACACTCATTACTAATTTGAAATTACAGTAGTTAATTCATTCTTGATATTGAATGCGTACAAAGAAGCACATCCTTTGTGTTTTATTATTTTTGAACATTGTATTCCCGTGTAATTAGCCTTTGAAACAATCCTGTGTGTTTTATTTTATGCATTTACAACATTATTCTGAGTAAGAGTCCGTAAGTATCACCAGACTGCCAAAGGAGGCCATGGAACAGAAAAGATCACAAACTGTGATTTAGAAGACCGTTGCTAACCTGTGTCTTGATTTATGGAATCCTTGAGGACAGGGATTTTTTTTTCAAGTTTATTATTATTATTATTATTATTATTATTATTATTATTATTTGGTAATCTCTACACCCAACATGGGGCTTGAACTCATGACCCTGAGATCAAGAGTAGCATGCTCTCCTGACTGAGCCAGCCAGGCTCCCCGAGGACAGGGGTTTATAATCATTTTGATTTCTGCAGTGCTCACAGTATTGCATTAGTAAAGCGTTCACACTCCAGTTCTCCTTCACAAAAAACCTTGGGCCTTGGCTCATAACTGAGGATGACACAGCACGATTTGAAGGGCCTCATCTGGTTGTGGATACGGTTGCATAAACACCCACTGGTTGCTTCTGTTCAGCGAGGACATGGAGGCCCGTAAAAGGCATGTGTGTGGAGGGGGTGGGGGGTGAGGGCAGCAAAGAGCAGGATTTGCCCAACTGCTGATGGAGGGGCGAGGGGCTGGTTGGTGAAGAACAGTCATTCTGGCCGAGAAGGTGGTTTTGGGGTGTGTGCAGACATGCGCACTCTAACATTATGCACTGTTGGTACAGTCGCTGTGGAGGAAAAGCTTAGGTATTCTGCAAGTTAGAGTCAAATTGTAAAATGAACAGACCGTATGACTGAAGCACATTGTAATTCTATGGAATTGCCTTCAGAAGCGCTTACTTACACTGAGCCAAGAGTAGTTAGCGTTCCTTGCTTTGCTCTTTGTTAATCATGGAAGATCCGTTGGTTAGAATCGACATTATTGGCATCAGACATTAACAAAACTTGGTTTGACCTGCCAGATGGAGCAACTTCCTGCTTGCTTGCCTACTCTTCCTAGTGACTCCAATTTTACCTTTCATCTGGCGGGTGTTTGTGTTAATGGTGTTTCACGTTTTAGGAGCCATTGACCTTCAGGGACGTGGCGGTGGTCTTCACCGAGGAGGAGCTGAGGCTGTTGGACCGCGCCCAGAGGAAGTTGTACCGAGACGTGATGCTGGAGAACTTTAGGAACCTGCTCTCTGTGGGTAAGGGAATGTCTGGGTGATCGACACTTAACCTTGATTGGAGTGTTCTTGTTCCCTGGGGAGAGGGTATTTCTGGTCTTTGTATACAGGTTAAATCCCATTTTTTAAATAGAACTGTTATAAAGTAGTTTCATGTGGCCAATCTCGAATCTTTTCTCTGCCTGTCCTTCAAAGGCTTGAAAGTCATGGAGTTAGGGCTACATTTTCTGATTACTTTTTGCACCTCAAAAATGCGCCTAAGCCTTGTATTTTCAGGGCAACAACCTTTCAAACCTGATAAGATACCGTGCCCTTTGGAAAAAAGGTAGAAAGACTTGGGTAACAGAGAAAATCCAGGAGATGCACACCCAGGCGAGAACCGTGGAGCCTGGAGTCCTGAGCAGGCAGGGAGGGGGTAAGCTTGTCACGTAAGGCCCCTTCCAACCCTCGATCTTCCCTGGGGATACCACATACCGTTGTAGGTGATTGTTCTGTGACCTCATTTCTGCTACTCAGTTCCCACCTTCTCATGATTCCTTCATGCTTTCCTTCATCCTCCACATACCCAGAGTGACAGAGGGGGTCCCTGCACTTGCCTCCCTCTGATAGAAACAGCCGGGCAGTGTAAGATAAGCCAGTTAACTCCTATGTCCTATTTATATCCATTGAGCCCATTTAACTCCTATATCCTAGGCATCCTCAGTTATAAACAGTTTTGTGTTATTTCGGCCCTTGAAGGTAAAAATCACCAATAAAGAATATCAAAAAGCATGGATAGATTTTTTTTTTTTTAACTTAACCTGGACGTACACAGTAAACGTGACAATTTGATGACTCGCAGTCCTGTGACAGGGATATGTTGAATATTTCTATGCCTCCGTGCCTTGTGTCATGTGGATTCCTAACTGACATGCTCCCAGAAGACCAGGACACAGCTGCTGCACTTTGGAGGATTCGGTGCTTCCTTCCTCCCCCGGGTTCATCTCACACATGCCCAGAATTAGAGTCACTCTGGGAGACAGCGCTAAGTGCGGCCCTAAAACCAGACTTCTGTGTTTGACTCCCCACCCTCCCCTTCCACACAGCATGGTGGGGTGACTGCACCAGGTTACTCACCCTCTTTGTGCTGTGGGTCCCTCATCCATAAAGCGAAAATGGTAAGGGTCCCCACCTCAATGTTATTCTGGAGGTAAAAGGAGTTAGTGGGTGTATATCGTCAGCATATAGGGAGCATTTCAATAATGTATATCGTCAGCATATAGGGAGCATTTCAATAATGTTGCATATTATTGTTAACAACAACAGCAGTAAGTGGAGAAGTGAATTTTCTCTGCAGAAATCTGTTGGGAATTTCTTGCTTGGCAAGTAGATGATGAGACGTAGTTTGTTACTAGTAGGATCATATTCACATTTAGCTTCAACGCTTGTTAACGGGAACCTCTTCCTTTTTTTAGACATAAAAGAAGTGCTCTGGTAGTTACGATACACACAGGTGAATTTTGCTCTAGGCTTATTACTGGCCTGAGTCCGAAAGCATGACCTGGCTTGAGATCCCTGAGCCAATCTTGTATTTGTTCTCATCTCTGAATTGTCTCTCACCTCATAGGAGACAAGAATGAAAAGGAAATGGAGTATATTCAAGAAAGAGAATTGAAGTGCCTTTCCTCCAGAGAGCTCTCCTACTGGAAAATCTGGGAACAGGTGACTGGTGAATTAACTGGGAGTCAGGATCATAGAGTAAATCTTCAAGGGAAAAGTTTCCAATTCTCAGAAGACGCTTCTCCCTGCCAAGGGTGGGAAGGAGCACCTGCTCAGGGTTCACACATTGACCATCTGGTGGGCAGTCTACAGAGACCCATCGGCTCAGAAAATCAAGAGTTTCCACCCTGGAAAGCTGTAAGATGGGTATCCGCTCAAGATTCTTGGATGAAAGCCCTTGTGAATGAGCCGTGGAACATTCGCGAAAGGTGTAAAAAACTTGACAGGCCTGATACAATATATAAGCATGAGGGGGACAGTTACGGCTTCAGCTGGATAGCACGTTGTCACAATGACCGCAGATTACCCGAAAGAGAGAGACCCTGTAATTGCGATCAGTGTGGAAAGGACGGCGTTAAAAAGCTGATACCTCATCGCCCTAGCCCCCAGGAGTATGACCGGAGAAGAAATGACTGCGGACACGGCTTCAGGGAAGAGTCACACCTTCCCACTCATCCAAGAGGGCCCTCGAGAGAGAAACCCCATAAAAACGAGGTCGGTCCGGCCTTGAGGCCGACCGCCCACCTCGAGAGACCTCAAAGGCCTCCCTCGGGCGAGAAAGCCTCTGAAAGTCAGGAGTGCGGCCGGGGCCCGAGGCCGAACCCGCGGCGGCCCCGCCGGCCCCGGGCCCCTGCAGGGGACATGCCCTACAGCTGCGACGTGTGCGGGAAGGGCTTCCGGTACCAGTCGATCCTCCTCGTTCACCAGGGCGTGCACACGGGCAAGAAGCCCTACGCGTGCGAGGAGTGTGGGAAGGCGTTCGGCCGCAGCTCAAACCTGCTGGTGCATCAGAGGGTGCACACGGGCGAGAAGCCCTACAAGTGCGCCGAGTGCGGCAAGGGCTTCAGCTACAGCTCGGTGCTGCAGGTGCACCGGCGGCTGCACACGGGCGAGAAGCCGTACGCGTGCGGCGAGTGCGGCAAGGGCTTCTACGCCACGTCGGCGCTGCGCAAGCACCAGCACGCGCACCCCGGGGAGCGGCCCTGCGGCCGGGCGCGCGGCGGCCAGGCCCTCACGTGCGCCTCGCCGCTCGGCCGGCACCCGAAGGCGCACGCGGGCCAGAAGCCCTACCGGTGCGACAAGTGCGACAAGGGCTTCAGCTACAACTCGTACCTGCAGGCGCACCAGCGCGTCCACACGGGGCAGCGGCTCTTCGAGTGCGACGTGTGCGGCAAGAGTTTCAGCTACAGCTCGGGGCTCCTCCGGCACCAGAGGCTGCACACGGGCGAGAAGCCGTACAAGTGCGAGTGCGGGAAGGCCTTCGGCCGCAGCTCGGACCTGCACGTCCACCAGCGGGTGCACACGGGCGAGAAGCCCTACAAGTGCGCCGAGTGCGGCAAGGGCTTCCGGCGCAACTCGGACCTGCACAGTCACCAGCGGGTGCACACGGGCGAGCGGCCCTTCGTGTGCGACGCGTGCGGGAAGGGCTTCATTTACAGCTCCGACCTCCTCATCCACCAGCGGACCCACACGGGCGAGAAGCCCTACAAATGCGCCGAGTGTGGCAAGGGCTTCAGTTACGGCTCGGGGCTCCTCATCCACCAGAGGGTCCACACGGGCGAGAAGCCGTACAAATGCGGAGAGTGCGGCAAGGGCTTCCGGTGCACCTCGAGCCTCTACAAGCACCAGCGGATCCACACGGGCAAGAAGCCCTACACGTGTGAGCAGTGCGGCAAGGGCTTCAGTTACGGCTCCAATCTCCGCACCCACCAGAGGCTGCACACGGGCGAGAAACCCTACACGTGCTTTGAATGCGGCAAGGGCTTCAGATACGGCTCGGGGCTCCTCAGTCACAAGAGGGTGCACACCGGGGAGAAGCCGTACAGATGCGACGTGTGCGGCAAGGGCTACAGTCAGAGCTCACACCTTCAGGGTCATCAGAGGGTGCACACGGGCGAGAAGCCCTACAAATGCGAGGAGTGTGGGAAGGGCTTTGGCCGAAGCTCCTGTCTTCACGTCCACCAGAGGGTGCACACGGGCGAGAAGCCCTACACGTGTGCGGAGTGCGGCAGGGGCTTCAGCTACAGCTCGGGCCTGCGGAACCATCAGCGAGTGCACGGCAGTGAGAAACCTGGCAAGTAGGCGAGCGTTCAGGTGGCACCGCGAACTGTCCACTCCACGCGAGCGCCGGTGCGGGAGGAAGCCTTTGGGAACGCGGTGTGTAGGGTCGGCTGCGGGGGGAGGCTGACCTGGTCACGCGGCCCTTGCTGCAGAGGAAGGAAAGACCCAGAAGTTCGAGAGACGGGAAGAGCACTTGAGTCGCAGGCCTCCTCGTCTCCGAGAGTCTGTCGCGCGGCGGACTGTCCTTCAGGAAGTAGGACGGGGCCTCAGCAAAGATCGTCACTCTCATCAGAGTCGGCCCGGGAGGGAGCTTTTATAAATGATAGGAGCAGGTTGTGGACGTGGATTCCTGGGTGGGGGTGGGGGTGGGTGGAAAATACCTACAGGTGGGACAAATGTAGGAAAGAATGGTCACCTTACTAAAACCAGTATTGTGTGTACCTTTTAGAAGATCAGTTTTACAGAAATCGAAAGATGGTGTGGGGCGCCTGGGTGGCTCAGTTGGTTAAGCGACTGCCTTCAGCTCAGGTCATGATCCCAGGGTCCTGGGATCGAGTCCCACATCGGGCTCCTGGCTCAGCAGGAAGCCTGCTTCTCCCTCTCCCTGCTCTCTCTGTCTCTGTCAAATAAATAAATAAATAAAATCTTAAAAAAAAAAAAAAAAAGAAAGATGGTGTGACTGTGCGTTGAGGCCAGGCGCTTTTAGAAGAGCGGGAACAGTTAGAGGGAGGGCCCCCCCTCTTGGCGGGTGTGGGTGATGCGTCTCCATCATGTTTTTTATGCCACGTGGTGGTGAATGTGTTTTATCTCCTAGAGATAAACTGCTCTCCTAGAGAGGTTGTGCTGAACTGCGGAGCCATTTCATTTTATCAGGTTTGTTCTGTTTTGTTTTGAAGTAGGCTCCATGCCCAGCACGGAGCCCACCGTGGGGCTTAAACTCACGACCCCGAGATCAAGACCTGAGCCGAGATCAAGAGTCGGACGCTCAACCAACTGAGCCACCCAGGCACCCCTCATTTTACCAGGTTTTAAACACAAAAGGCAATTGGCATTGCATTGAATTTATAGGTTAATTTGTTTTATTGCTATCATGAATATAATGCTTCTGCCCCGTTTCATTTCGTAGTGTTTTTGAACAGACAAGGCAACTATTAGAGCATTTTAAAGAATCAGAAATACCATTTTAAGTTGTCAGAATAGCCATGGAAAAAGAGAGTCACCAAAGCCACCATCAGTGGGGATCTGTGGAAACCTGCACCTGTGAATTTATTGGTGGGGGGTGAAGAAAAGTAGCCTTTTGGAAAAGAATTTGTCAGTGTATCAAGTTCAAATTTGTGTAACCTTTGAAGTGGCAATAAGTGTGTAGTAATTGATACTTGGGAGATAGTTGCACATATGGAAAAAGATGTATGCATATGGCTGAGTTTCTTAGCATTTTCTTACCATAGCAAAAAAAAAAAAAATGTTAATACTCCAAGTGTAATAAATTAAGGCACATGTAAATGAGTGAAAACCACTAAAAATATTCAGGTACACCCACATAGACATTGAAGGTTGCCCACAAACCATTTTGTGAACCAGGAAAGTTGGAGAGCCATTTTAGCATGGTCCCGTTGTGTTAATACGTTTTTTGCGTGCATATGTTTATATAGAGAGAAAGACACAAAAATGTGTGAAAGGTTAGTATGATAACTGCTTACCTCTAGTAAGTGGGATGCGGGGTGTGTAATACATCTGTGTACTTGTACGTATTTTACTTTTTAACACAGAGTATATATATCAATTTTGTAACAATAGTAAAGCTATTTTTTAAAAAAAATTAGTCTGGTGGAACAGTGCCTTATGGTCAAAGATCCATGTCACAACCTCTATAATTTTGTTGTTGTTGTTGCTTTTTCTACTGTTTACTTAGCACCTAGTACCAAATATAAGGTATACAAATGAACTGAGAAATTTGTGAATTAGATGCTGCATAATTTTTGTTGGCTTGGTCGGAAATGAGGGTGGTCTGGGTAATTGGGAGGAGCCGGGGTGCTCCACTCTGCACTCTGGCCCTCTGGGACCAGTGAGCCCCCAAACCTGGCTTCCTAGAAGGCAGCGCACCAGGATATGTCCCCTCTAGTCTGATTTCCTTTCCTGGGGCCATGTCTGGGGGGTCAGAAGCAAAGTGTCCATAGCTGAAAAGGTTAGCTTTCTGAAGGGGCTTGGAAAAAGTCTCAAGTGTTTTGTGGAATAGCAACTGCATCATTTTAGTCATGGGGTGGGCTTAACCAAAGAACACATGTAGACACCGTCCCTGCCCCTCAGACCCTCAAGGTTTGTGGTTGATATGTTAAGCTCTCTAAATGGATTTCCAAAGGAGGACCACAAATTTTTTTTTCTGTAGTTTTATTGTATGCATTTTTTAAAAGCTCCAAAATTTTAATTTTTAATTTTTTTTTTTTTTTAGTTTCAGGGGTAGAATTTAATGATTCATCAGTGGCATGTAAAACCCAGTACCCTCCTTAATGCCCATCACCCAGTTACCCCATCCCCCCCCACCTCCCCTCCAGCAACCCTGTTTGTTTCCTATAGTTAAGAATCTCTTAGGGTTTCCCTCCCTCTCTGTTTTTATGAAATCTTGCCATTTGCAATGACGTGGATGGAACTAGAGGGTACTACGCCAAGAGAAATAAGTCCGAGAGAGACAAATACTGTATGATTTCACGAATATGGGGAATTTAAGAAACAAAAGAGATGAACATAGGGGAAGGGAAGGAAAAATAAGATAAAAGCAGGGAGGACCACAGGTTCTTAAATTGGTCTGGGCAGTATCTCCCCAGTGTCCTGGAAGTAGCTGTCACGTGTTGGCTGCAGCTAGTCATCTGAATGTTTGACCAGGGCTTAAAGGATCTGCTTCCAAGATGGCTTTGAGCATCATAGAGCTTTGAACAGGAGGCCTCAGTTCCTCGGTGGATGTTGGAAAAGGTCTGAGTTCCTCACCACGTGGGTTCCTCTACAGGACTACCTGAGGGCCTTCATGCCACGGCGGCTGCCTTCCCTCAGAGCAAGTGGCCAGAGAGGAGAGCGCAAGCAGGAAGCCACAGGGCCTTCTGTGACCCAGTCTCTGAAATGACCATCCCTTCTGCTTTCTTCTCTTCCTTAGGAGTCACTAAGTTTCTGGGGAGGGGCATTAGGTTCCACCTCTTGCAAGGAGTACCAGAGAACTTGTGGATGGATCTTCAAAAAACCACCATACCTACTAACAGCTTGGGAGAATGATTCGGTTCAGTCGACCTTTGTAGATGTGTACTGACCATTCTACCTGCTAGAGGCTGTCCTCGAGATCCCACTGGGTTGCCTAAAGTTTACCCAGGTGCCGATCAGCTGCTGCCATGTCAGTGGCGACAAGGGATACAACAGCATCAAGGGAGTGCTGTAACCACTATGGATTGGTTGGAGCCAGACGTAGAAGTGCAGTGCTTTCTCTGCAAAATCAGCAGGAACAATGAAGTAAGATGTCACCCTCTGTTGTCATTCTCTTGCAGTCTCTGAATGTTACATGGTAGGAAGGTTAATACAAGTTTCAGGGCCTCTGGGGAGTTGTAAAAACACCATCTGCAGGGCAGAGTCAGAAACTGGTAGTCTCTAAAGAATGATGGTGAACAAGTTGGCTCTAGCTGAAGTGGGTTGGTAGGGGCAGTAAGTCTGGTATAGAATATAGAGTTGATTGTGACAGTAATGTTGTATCCTACCAACAGGGTGACGTGATCATTTTAGAAGGTAGAGTCAGAGACTTTAGATACGTTTCCTTTAAAAAAAATTTTTTTTAGAGATTTTATTTATCTGAGAGAGAGAGATAGAGATAGCGAGAGAGCATGAGTGGGGAGGAGAGGGAGAAGCAGGCTCCCTGCTGAGCAGGAAGCCCAACGTGGGGCTCGATCCCAGGACCCTGAGATCATGACCAGAGCCGAAAGCAGACGCTTAACCGACTGAGCCACCCAAGATACCCATTTACAAGTAGATTTTATGGGTCCAGACAAATTGTAACTTCCTCAGAACAGTCCTCAGCCTGAATATAAATATCTCAGGTATAAAACCCAACCTAGTGTTATTCCATCAGGAGATGGAGAATGAAGTACGCCAACTAAGTGAGATAGTCTACTAGCCCACTAGGATGAGGTGGTATGATGGTAGGTCAGAAATTAAATTTGGTTTATTCTCACTTGGGAGATCTCCTGCATCCAGATGTGTCCCTCGGAGCATTGGAAACACCTAAGCCTGTCATTGCCTTGGACCCCAGGGTCACAGTGTAACATTGTATTGTGTAATTTGGCCATCAGGAGCACATGCAGATCATATTCAACCCCTTGAATTTTTACTTCTGACTGACATTTGGTTAATCAGTAGATACTATGTGTCTAAGCACTGGGGATACAACTGTTAAGGTGTTTGGGCCAGAACGCGCAAGCGAGAAAGTAGTAGAAAATGAGGTCAAAAAGGAGAAGCTAAAAGGGAGTAAATGAACTAGGTTGTGGAGAATTGACATATTTATCACAGATATTACTGAGGCATGTTAAAGGAAACCTCTTCATCCAGTAGTTTTAGGATCTCCCCAAATTAAGGGTCACTCCCGCCTCTGTGGCAGATCTTACTAGATTTTTTAAAATCACGATGAAATTAATGTCAAGATATCAAGACAGAGCGAGGCCAAGAGAATTTCGCTGTCCCTGTATGTGCCATGAGTTGCAACGCCAAGCTATGTAACTGGATATCCTGCCCACTGCTTGGAGGTGGGGGTCTGCAATTACCTGTCTAGTCCAGGACTAGAGCTGGCAAAAAGAGAATATGTTCTCACCCGTTTTTGGGTGCTTTTCTTCCAGGCCAGAACTGTGGGTTTCTGGTGAAATCCTTACACAGTTTTCTTACCCAGTGAGGGCACAAAACAGATACTTCCTTTAACAGTAATCTTAAAATGCAAAAAGTAAATGCCACGAGGGGAGACTTCTCAAAGGGAATCTGAAACCTTTCCATGTCTCCGTGATTTGTGGAAATAGGTCTCTTATAAGAGACTCCCTCCCCACCCCCACCCCCATCCCCGACTCGTGCTATTCCCTAATTCAAAACAGAAGGCGCTGGGTGTTAATCCTCTCTGCTTCACCAGAGAAGCGGAAACATGAGAGGACTCTGAACTCTCAAGTGTGGAAGATTTTCCAGAGTCCCCTTCAATAGAAACAAACCGTGAAAAGGGTATTTAAATGAGTTTTTTGTGGGGTGTGTCCGCAGAATAAGAACCTGTAAGGGTTTTCACTAAAATGGGAACAAGTGCTCATTTCCAGGTGGTGGAATATTGGATCTTGCCCCTCCTTTACATCACGGGTGGAGAGTGATTTGTCTTAATTATTGTTAACATTTCACTGTTACTTTATCACCATTATTATTATTAATTTTATTGTTTTAAATAAATGGCAAGAGTGCGGGTGGCCCCACTGGGGCCACGGGTCCCCAGGGAGCCGCCCGGCGCGGCCGCGCTGCGGCGCAGGGCCTTCTGGGGGTTGTAGTCCACAGGCTTCTTGCGCATGCGCTTTGGGCACAGGCGCTCACTGTGGGCGACATTGTCTGCGGCGCTGAGGTGAGTCCGGCCCGGACCGCACCCGCTTCGGCGGCGTCGGGGGAGATGGGGGTGGAGGGTGTGTGTAGCTGTGACCCGGCCCTGTCGACGGTGGGAGGAGTTGGAAGCGGGGACTGGTGGCCAATGGAAGAGCCTCCTCGGCGGGGCGGGCTGTTGAGGGGCTCGCCCAGCATTCCCTGGGAAGAGGTGGGAGAGCTTGAGCTCGGTTTTGGGGGGACTGACTCCGGTAGCGCCGCTGCAGGTTTCGGGATAGGGGCTGTGCATCCCCGCGTTGGGGTTGGTGTCAGTCTTGGAATGTGCATCTCTGGCCCGGGGCGGGTTGGCTCGGGTTTGGGGGAATAAGTGTTTGGGCCAAGCGTCCCTGACTGCGGAGAGGGATTGGCTCAAGCAGTTCATCTCCGAGTATGGGGGACTGCTTGGGCTGTACATTCCTGGCCTTGGCAGGACGGGCAATTCGGGCTCAGCAGCCCTAGACTCTTGGAGTCTTGGATTCTGAACCCTGTGTTTGGGATTTGGCAGCCCTGACTCTGGGGTGGGGGTGGGGGGCGGGGCATCTTTGTTCCCCAAAACTGGGCTCACTTTTGGTGGGTATTGAGCCAAAAGATACAACCAAGCCCAAAAAATAGGAAAAGGAAGATTTTTACTTGCAACAAATAGAGGGGAGCACGGGGGGATATTTTCCAAAGCAGTGTCTCCTGGAATAACAAAACTGGGGACATTTTAAGGTAACGGTGCATACATATTCATGAAGGGGTCTGTGCAATGGGGAATTCAGCCTGGAATTGGGGGGCAAAAGTCATCTTAAGGTGACAGAGCCCAGGTCTGATGGAAGTCATGAGGGCTGGCAAGGGTCAGCTTCATCAATTCTGTGGCTCCGGTTGGTCTGGTATCTGGGTGCTCAAAGGGGTTTAGATCCTGAAAAGAGAACTCAAGAATGTGCTTGCGGTCACTCTTCACGTTTGAATCAGCACTGCGAGTTTTACCATTGATTGATTGTCCCTGATACGATCAGGCTATCTCCTGGCCTGATAGTGGCTGTTTATTCTTACATTCTTTTGTTCCCTTAAAATTATTAACTACTGAGTTCTATTCTGCAATTTCAACGTATCCCAGGAAGTTCTTTGAGGAAGAAAGTGTTTTGGACAAATAGTGCCTGTCAGGCTTAGATCTCAAGATGACTGGGACCTAGAATGACTAAAATAACTTTTCTTATGTCAAGAGGCTATGTCTCATCTTTCTTGGGGGACCCCTAACTCTTTCTGCTTACATCTTGACTTTTCTCCTCTCTCTAGTTAGAAATCTGAATACAGTTTAGAGAGAACTGCCCCAAATTATTAATCCCATCCTCGCCTTGCATGCTAGGAGGCAGGGAATGCAAACTTTGAGGCTTATAACACGCAGAGCAAATGTCAGATTGTTCGATTGCAGTCAACAAATTAGAAATTCGAGCACTGACTCTATATTTGATAAAATTAGAGAATTTATGTTGTTTTAGGTGTAATATTAGCACTTTTAAAACTATTTCATACCTTTTAGAGTGACATAATGAAGTATTTCTGGATTAAGCCATATGATGAATATGGTGTCAGGGATATACTTCCAAATAATATGCAAGGATGTGGGGAGGGGTAGAGGTATAGTTTTTTTTTTTTAATTTTATTTATTCATTTGAGAGAGAGCACGAGAGGGGGGAGGGTCAGAGGGAGAAGCAGACTCCCTGCTGAGCAGGGAGCCCGATGCGGGACTCGATCCCGGAACTCCAGGATCACGACCTGAACTGAAGGCAGTCGCTTAACCAACTGAGCCACCCAGGCGCCCGAGGTATAGTTTAAACAAGAGTGACCATGTGTTGATAATTGGCACCTGGGGGTTCATTGGACCATTCTGTCTACCTCTGCATGGCTTTGAAATTTTTATGATAAAGTATTTTTGAAACAGTTTTCCAGTTAACGAGCTAGGAAGTGTCCTGAGGAAGCATAGAAAGGTTGAATTTACTCTTAGTTGCATATCATATGTGGGGGCCAGATGTTGCAAATTCCCCTTAAGATTTATTTATGTGGGGGGGAAGGGGCAGAAGGAGAGAATCTTCAAGCAGACTCCCCAGTCAGTGAGGAGCCTGACATGGGGCTCGATCCCATGACCCATGAGATCATAACCTGAGCTGAAACCAAGAGTTGGATGCTCAACTGACTGAGCCACCCAGGCACCCCTAGTTTTAGGTTTTTGGACAGGCTTTCTGAGGGTATGACTGCTATGCACATTTGTGTAAGTTGGGTTCTGCACAAGGAGACCACACTGAAACTGGGCCATTCACATAGAATACACACACAGTTTTTCAGTAAGTAGCTGTAAAAGTGCTTTGTTCCTTTGTTCTAACAGAAGCAGTATATTATAATAATTCTCCAACAGGTGGGAGAAAAGCATCTCGAGGAAGGGATGCATTTTTCTAATCAGTCCAAAGGCAAATTGGCATGGACTAGAGACATCCCTGCCTGCAGTCCTGCCACGGCCCTTAGGGCTGAAGTTAGATCTCATAGAGTCCTTTGGCTCAGATACTCACAGATCACAGATACACACCTTGTCATCATCACATGACATTTACTCTCACACACATGGAGGAAATGGTCTTTATCCTTTTCCCCAGATAATTACACATGATTGCTAGGTACATCCAGAAGAGTTCAGATTAGTCTCTCTCGTCAGTCCTGAATCCTCTAGAAATTCTGAGAAAAAGAGCTAGGAATCTGGAAGCAGGATTTTGGGGAGAACTTGGGGCTTATATTTCCGATTGTGTTTGTGGGCAGTTGCAGTTCCAGATTCAACTGCTGCTTTCCCCTTGGGTCCTCTTCCCCGCAAGAGGTTGCTGTGGGCACCTGGTCTCTGACCTGCTGCAGTGACTCAGATCAGAGTGATGATCAGTTCAAGTGAGCGAGAGGAGCATTGTGGGAGAGAGCTCTGTGCGCTTGGGCAGGTGGGGGAAAAACAAGGGTCTTGGAGCATCATGTGCCACATTCTCTCAGTTCCCCACCTCCAGATCCACTTCACCTTTCCGCCCTGCCATCTGCCCTGAGAGCCCGCCACTGCCCTCTGGCCTGGTTGTCCTCGGCCAGTGGGAAGTCACAACAGGAGAGTTTGGAGAGAGAGGGAGAGAAAAGAGTGAGTTGGAGTATCTGGTCCCCCCAATTCTCTCTCTGTAGGCTGGCTGCACTTCTCAACAAAAAGTTACAGTTCCCATCAGGGACCTTTTGCACACTCTGTTCCAGGCCCAGGAATCGCCCTCCTATTACCCCTTCAGGCTCAGATATAGTAATGGCAACTGCCTGTCACTCCCCAGCATAGTGCCTTCTCCCCCATGGCTTCCTTACGCCCAGCCTACACCCCTCTAAGTAGTCTGTTTATTAACTGCCTGCCTCAAATTTGAATGTGCCGTCTGGTTCCTGCCAGGGCCCCAACTTTAAAAAGGCAGGGAGGGCTTGAAACCAGAAATCTGGGAAACCAAACTGCCTCCCACATGTGTGTGGGTGCATGTGTGCACGTGTGTGCGTGTAAATCAAGCTGACCCATTGTTGGCTCTCAGGAGAGAACAGATTTCTGGAAGCAGAGAGCCTGGTGTGCTTGTGTCTTTGCAAGAGCATCTAGTGTATCAGAGCTGATTCTATTTATGTGTTTGTTAATCTCAAACACTGAGTGCTTGATAAACGGCAGGATCTTTACCGGGTACAGCAGATAAAGGATGAAGGCTTGGTTGTGTCTTCGGGATTTATTGGTTTTTTTTGACAAGGTTAGGGAGAAATGTTCCTTGGTAGGTTTTAACGATTATGAAACTATGTGATTGGCCCTGTGCTAAGAGGTTTAGCAAATCTTTGTTGGAGCCCAGAATAAGGGTGATTAAGGCTTTCTACTAAAGGCAGGGAAGGGGAGGGGAAAGAGTGAGGGTTTGCCAGGAGTCATTTCATATTCTATTAACCCAATTCTGTCACCCTGTAAGCTGCTAGAACATGCCATTCACGGGTGGCCAGCAAATGGGTGCCAGTTGGAGAGCTACTTGCTCTATGACCAGATAATTTCAAGAAATTGAGTGGAAACATTTAAAAATTGGTATAGCAGTTTCAGTAATCGTGTGATGATTGATTAATAATTTTTTAATGGGCCTGTAATTTGTATGCCTCTCTATTTCCTTTCTCTAGAAATTTCTTCTAAACTGTATTTTACCAAAATATCAGTCAGTGATAGATCGAAAATAACCGTGAAAAGAATATTTTTTTTTAGTTTTAAGAGAGCATTGTTGGAGAGAACAGAGACCTGGTTTTTGCTTTTTATCTTTTAATTTTTGAGGTTCCCACAGTGCCTAAAGCAGAAATTTTATACACTAAGTTTCTTCTGGAAGGTCAAAGGCAGAGTTTATCAGACAGGAAATAAACACCAGAGTCAAAATAACTTGAGAAGAGCTTAAAATAAAGGGACAATTTCCAAAAATGCAGGCAGGGTGTGGTCATCAAGAAAGGATATTACAGTTTCCCAGATCTGGTCATAGCAGGGTAACTTACTCTGCCTAGGATGGAAGGGCTAAGGGAGGAAGCAGTTTGCAGACCAGGGGAAAGATTTGAGACAAGGGCCACCAACAGGCTCTGTGACCTTCGGTCAGGGACATGAAACAGAGCCAGTCCAAAGCAACCCCCAGGGAAAGAGCTAGGGGAATAAATACTCCGACTTCACTTCTGTCCCTTCCCTGGATCTCCTGCTGACTTTCTCTCTTGGCTGAACTCAACCGGAAGCTGGAGGGCAAGGGGATTCCCTGATAACAGGCAGGATGGAGAAGAGAGTTGAGTGGATGTGGAGTCCTAAGTTCCCATGGCTTTGGTCCACCTGAGGTCCTAGAGAGTTTCTAGTTCAGGAGTCTGTGAGCTTTTCCAGAGCAGAGAGCATGTGCCTTTCATGTCATAGGTATATCATCAATTATTTGCAAGACTCATGGGGCCCCAGAGGATAGAACAAGGGCTGGGGAGAGATCATTTTGGAAGCCAAGAGTTAAGATCTGAGCTAACTGAAAGTTCTTCAGAGCAAGTCTCACATGCGAAAGTGGACTCAGAGGGAGGGCCCCCTGTCATCCTGAGATCCCTGTCCAAGTCGGATTAAGGGGTGCACTTGTCCTGATGAGCACAGGGTGATGTATGGAAGTGTTGAATCACTATATTGTGTACATGAAACCAATATAACACAGTATATTAACTAATTGGAATTAAAATAAAAATTAGGGGCGCCTGGGTGGCTCAGTCGTTAAGCGTCTGCCTTCGGCTCAGCTCATGATCCCAGGGTCCTGGGATCGAGCCCCGCATCGGGCTCCCTGCTCGGTGGGAAGCCTGCTTCTCCCTCTCCCACTCCCCCTGCTTGTGTTCCTGCTCTCGCTATGTCTCTCTCTGTCAAATAAATAAAAATAAAATCTTTAAAAAAATAAAATTAAATTAAAATTAAAAAAAAAAAAAGAAATTCTGAAGCCTCTTTTCCAGAGTAACTAGGATATAGGCGATGCCAATACATTCACAAGTCTGAGAAAAAGAAAAAGTGTGGCAGTTTGGACCCAAAAGCTTAGGGAGTGATACAGGAGTTATATGGGAATCCGGGTGGAGTGGGGGCAGGGGACAAGGCTTGAGGAGGTGGGATGGAGTCTGTTGGGAATAAGAAGAGATATCTCGGGAGAGAAGAATGTGTGAGAAAATTGTACAGATCAGGATAAACCAGGATTCGCTCACGGTTTGTCAAACCCATGCTCTCATGGATTCTTTCTTTGCAGTTCTACTTTCTCAGGATCCTGCTCCTTCCACGAGGAAGACAGTATGACTAAATTCCAGGTAAGTTCAGGTTTCCTTTCTCTCTCTTAAAGGCCATGTCCTTTCAGAGGAGCTACACACCTCTGTTCTCTGAAGGGAGGTCACCCATTTTTGAGGGATGGCTCCGTGTTAGGCACTATGCCTTGCTCGTAACAGCTGTGTGAGATTGGTGGTGTCAGTCCCTTTGCAGAAATGAAGAAACAGGCTCCGAGATGTCCAGATGTCTAGTTCGGTGCTACTCCACATGAGGTTTGCGCACAGGTGCCAGTCCTCGAGCTGCTTGTCACTGAGAGATCAATATAGCAATCAAGAGTAAGAGTTCAGAAACTCTTTTTCAAAAAGATTATTTTAGAGAGAGAGTGGGTGTGGGTGGGGGGAGGGGCAAAAGGAGAGGGAGAGAGAGAAGCAGACTCCCCGCTGAGCATGGAGCCTGACGTGGGGCTGGATCCCACAACCCTGAGATCATGACCTGAGCCGAAATCAAGAGTTGGTCGCTTAACCGACTGAGCCACCCAAGCGCCCTGCATTCAGAAACTCTTATAGAATGTAGTATTGCCACAGCATCTGAGGGCATGGTCGGTATATACATGACCACACTTGGAGTAGCGCTGGGTCCAGTACATGTAAGCGGCAAGATTTGAGTGTGGATGTATCCATCAGGATTCAACCAGTGAAGCAGAAACAGTATGAGTTATATATTGAGATTTGTAAGAGGTTTATTTTATGAGACAGTGGGGGCTGGGCAAATCGGAAGTCCCAGGGCAGGCTGGAACTCTTAGACACAGACTGATGCTGCTGTCTACAGGTATAATTTCTTCTCTTAGGGAAGCCTCAGTTCTGGTCTTGAGGCCCTTCAACTGATTGGATCAGGCCCACCCACATTATTTAAAATAGTCTTCCTCCAAGTCATCTGATTATGGACTTAATCACATCTATAAAATATCTTCACAGCAACACCTAGATTAATGTTTGCTTCCATAATGGGACTGTAGTCTAGCCCAAGTTGATGCATCAAAAAGGCCATCAGAGGGTAGAACAAGGATTTTTTTAAATCATGAAAAATGTTTTAATTATGCAAATACACAAAAAGAGAAAATAGTACTATGAATCTCTGTGTGTAGTACCCATAGTTCAGGTTCAACATTTTGCCACATCTGCTTAATCTATCTCTTTTTCACTTTCCTTTTTTCTTTCCCAAAGAATTTTATTTTATTTTATTTTAAGATTTATTTATTTGAGAGAGAGAGAGGGAAAGAGACAGAGAGAGGCTTAAGCAGATCCCACGCTGAGCCTGGAGTTCGACGCGGGGCTTGACCTCATGACCCCCAGATCACGACCTGAGCTGAAACCAAGAGTCAGATGTCCCAAAGCATTTTAAAAGAAGACCCCGGATAGAATGTTACTTCATTTTATATCGGTTTGGTTCTGAGCTCATTACTTTCTTAGAGTAGCTTGTGTGCAAGCTAAAATAAATGAGCTCCCACTCATTTCCTCTGCCTGGAAACCATCTTGCCTGAGTCCACACTGAGTCCCATTAGGTACATTTTCCATCTTCTACCTTACTGCCAGCAATTGTTTCACCAAATGTTTCACACTTTATCACCCAGGCTACCATTTTTCCAGCCTCTGATAACAGTTTCCCCAAGTGTTGCCTCTTGGTCCCAAAGTCAGTGCCAGAGATATTTATTTGGTAGCAGTTTTGTATTGGTTAGCATGGACGTGTTGGGTGCTGGCAGAGCAAGGAAACAAATGGAAACATGCAGGTTAAGGCCCAGGCTTAGAACTGGAACAAGTCATGTGGCCAAATCCAAAGTCCAGTGGCAAAGAAATACACGCAGGTCCTTGAGTGGAATTGGGGAGCATGAGGGAATTTTGCTAATTGGCAATCTAATTTACCATACACCTCTATATATTTTAGTATGTATTTCTATGGAAAATAAAAAAAAAATGGCTGAGATTATCAGTAATTCTTTGGTATCATCTAATACCCTGGCAATAATCAGTTTTCCCTGGTTATCTCAAAAATGCCTCTTTTTGGTGTCATTCAGTGGGTTCCTCTAGCTACAGTGTTTCCTATAAGTGGGAGCACTGAGTGCTTGAATAAATTTAGGTTCCAGATTTTACAAGAGGACTTCATAGATGGTGCTATGTGCCGAGAAAAAGATTTTAAAATCTTTGATTGTATCTATATTAGTTTATAAATTTGGTTTATTAATATTTTTGGACTGTCCCCATACCTGCATCATATGGCAGTTTCTGCATAGGATCCCAGCAAGGGATCCGCCCAGCTGCACAGGGTGGTGGGAAATGGGTGTTTTGTTTTCCCAGACAGTTGAGGCCAAGAAGGGAGAAGGGGCTTAGGCTGGGTGAGCCTGCATTCCGAACCCCTTCTCCCTAGTGTCTGCCCCACATCGGCTGTCGGGTATCTGTACTTCCTGGCTCACTCGCTCCAACTCCATTTTGTTACCTCCCACCGAGGAAAGCAGTGCTGCTAAGATATACTGGGTGGTTTAGGAACAGCTGAAACTTATTTTCACAGCTCCGGAGATTAGGAAGTCCAAGATCAAGGATCCGGCAGATTTGGTGTTTGGTGAGAGCCTGCTTTCTGATTTATAGGTGGTCATCTTCTTGCTGTGTCCTCACATGGCAGAAGGGGTGAGCTCTCTGGGAAATCTTTTATGAGGGCCCTAATCCCATTCCTGAGGCTCCACTCTTATGACCTAATTACCTCCTAAAGGCCCCATCTTTTAATACTATCACCTTGAGGGTTAAGATTTCAACATATGAACTTTGAGGGGGACACAAACATGCAGTTCATAATGCCCCCGCTAGCTTTTGTTTTCAATAATTGTCAGGTTTGGGTGATTGAATAATAGCTAGTAATAAATTCTTTGTGAAATATGTTGTAACTACTCACAACTTTGGTTGGCAGCATTTTCGAGGTACAGAGGCTAGTGAGAGGACATATGTATGACTATGTAACTGGGCAGGGTGATAAGTGCAGTGATAGCATTTTATTTAAAAATTTACTTTTTGGTTGGGGCTGGCTATTAATACTAGATTATTTTTCCCCTCAATTTTTCTTTAAAGATTCTATTTATTTATTTGTCAGAGAGACAGAACACACGCAGGAGGAGCAGCAGGCAGAGCGAGAAGAAGACTCCCCACTGAGCAAGGAGCCTGATATGGGACTCGATCCTGGGATCCTGGGATCACGACCTGAGCCGAAGGCAGTCACTTAACCAATGGAGCCACCCAGGCACCCTCCCCTCAGTTTTTTATTTTGAAAATTTTTAATTTATGGAAAAATGGAAAGAGCAGTATAATGTTTAGTCTTCAACTAGATTCACAAGTTGTTAACAATTACACACATATACATAATACACATACACACACAATATCTATATTTCATTTTGCTAACCCAGTTGAGAATAAATTACAGTCATCATTATTCATCCCTAAATACTTCAGTATGTATCTGCTAAGAATAAGGGTGTTTTCCTACATTTCCACATTACTGTCATCACTCAAGAAATTTATATTTTTATTCAAGTAAAATTAACATACAGTGTTATATTAGTTTCAGGTGTTCAATGTAATGATTCAACAATTCCATACTTTTCTCGGTGCTCATCATGATAAGTGTACTCTTAATCCCCTCCATCTGTTTTCCTCACATCCCCACCCACCTCCCCTCTGGCAACCACCAGTTTGTTCTCTGTATTTAAGAATTTCATTTGTCTCGGGCACCTGGGTGGCTCAGTTGGTTGGGCGACTGCCTTCGGCTCAGGTCGTGATCCTGGAGTCCTGGGATCGAGTCCCGCATCGGGCTCCCTGCTCGGCAGGGAGCCTGCTTCTCCCTCTGACCCTCCCCCCTCTCATGTGCTCTCTGTCTCTCTCATTCTCTCTGTCTCAAATAAATAAATAAAATCTAAAAAAAAAAAAAAAAGAATCTCATTTGTCTCTTTTTTTTCCCTTTAATCATTTGGTTTTATTCTTAAATTCCACATGTGAGTGAAAACAATATGGTATTTGTCTTTCTCTGAGTGACTTATTTCAGTTAACATTATACCCTCTAGGTCCATCCATGTGGTTGCAGATGGCAGGGTTTCATTCCTTTTTATGACTGAGTAATATTCCATTGTATATGTATACCACATCTTCTTTATCCATTCGTCTATATCGATGGGCACTTGTGTTGCTTCCATATCTTGGCTATTGTAAACAATGTTGCAGTGAACATAGGGGTGCATATATCTTTCTGAATTAGTGTTTTCATTTCCTTTGGGTAAATACCATGCATAAAAATAAACTCAAAATGGATTAAGGAGCTAAATGTGAGACCTGAAACCCATAAATTCCTAGAAGAAAACATAGGCAGTTATTTCTTTGACATTAGTGGTAGAAACATTTTTCTGGAAATGTCTCTTCTGGGAAGGAAAACAAAAGCAACATTAAACTCTTGGGACTACACCAAAATAAAAAGCTTTTGCACAGAGAAGGAAACCAGCAACAAAACAAAGACAGTTTACTAGATGGGAGAAGATATTTGCAAATGCTATCACTGATAAGGGGTTAATATCCAAAATATATAAAGAACTTACACAACTCAACACCAAAAAATCCCAAATAATCCAATTTAAAAATGAGCAGAGTACACCAATAGACATTTTTCCAAAGAAGACATACAGATGGCCAACAAACACATGAAAAGATGCTCAACATCACTCATCATCAGGAAAATGCAAATCAAAACCACAACGATGGAGTGCATAGGTGGCTCAGTTGGTTAAGCAACTGCCTTCGACTCAGGTCATGATCCTAGGGTCGTGGAATGGAGCCCTGGGTCAGGCTCCCTGCTCAGCAGGGAGTCTGCTTTTTCTCCTTCCCCTCTGCCCTTCTGTCCTTTCCCTCACTTGTGCTCTCTCTCTCATTCTCTCTCTCTCTCCCCCAAGTAAATAAAATCTTAAAAAAAAAAAAAACCCACAAGGAGATATCATCTTATACCTGTCAGAATGGCTAAAATAAAAAAACACAAGAAATAACAAGTGTTGGCCAGGATGCGGAGAAAAAAAGAACCCTTGTGCACTGGTGGTGGGAGTGAAAATTGGTGCAGCTACTATGGAAAACAGTATGGAGGTTCCTCAGAAAATTAAAAATAGAACTACCATATGAGCCAGTAATTCCACTACTGACTCTACTGTTTTTTTTAAAAAAATACTTAATTGATACCCAAATGCTCTCACATGTTCCAATAATTTCCTTTTTCCTTTTTTTTTTTTAAATCTGGCAACCAATGCTTTTAGTTGCCTTGTCTGCTTAGTCCAATAGAAATAGATTAATATGCCATGACAGAGAAAATATCAAGTCTTGATGTATGAAAAGGAATGAACACCCAGACACTACTAGGCCAGTGTATCAGCACAACCTTTTTGGAGGATAATTTGGACAATATCAGTCAAAATGTAAAGTTGCAACCCCAAGTAATTCAGTAGTCTCTGGTCTAGGAATTTATTTTATGGAAATGGTCTTATAAGCACTCAAAGACAGATGTTCATGGATGTTTACTGCAACATTGTGCGACTCTGGACAGTTAATGGGGACACAGGCAATGCGGACAAAAGAAGAGAAACTTGGCCTACCCAAAACTTTGAATTTCTTCTATGTTTCTCATTTCTTTTGTGCTAGTAAGGGTCTGTTCAGGACACAAAAAGGACGCTGGCTGTTTGAACAGGAAGAATTTAATAGAATTGTTGACTAGGTTTGGAGTTGTGAGCCAGGTAACTGAGGGGTAAAGAGAGAACTCTGCAGTATCATGGAAGTACCAACTATGGGAAGTAACTAACAACCTGGCTGAGGGAACCAAAGGGTGAGATTAAATTATGGGAACTTGGAAACTTAGAAGAGGGGCCTTGTGGAGCTGAAATGCAGAACTGTGAAGAGGGGGGAGTGCTGGCCGGCTGGTGTCTCTGAGCTCAGTGAAGAAGCCTAGGGGTCAGGGACCCAGACTTCAGATATCGCTAGGGAATGGGACTGCTGCTACCAGCGGAACATAGCCTGGCAGAGGTGATACCAGAACAGGAGGCAGACAGGCCAGGAACAAGTTAAGTCCCTTCTTTCTCCCCCAACCTTGTAGAATCCTTCCTGTGCCCCCTAGTGGCAGAGCCTCACACAGAGCCAGTTCTCGGATTCAAAGTGCGATCTGCAGAGCCATGGTTCCAGCATTACAAAGTGTGGTTTAAAGTGGAAGGCTTGGAGCAGAAAGACAGCAACCTAATGACCAGCAAAGCTTCCAGCTGTGCTCTTCTGCCAGTGGTCATCCGTGGATGATCCATGAGGCATGTGCTTGATGTTTCAGGAAGCTGTGACCTTCAAGGACGTGGCGGTGGTCTTCACGGAGGAAGAGCTAGCTCTACTGGACAAGGCCCAGATAAACCTGTACCAGGATGTGATGCTGGAGAACTTCAGGAACCTTGTCTCAGTGGGTGAGGACAACAAGCCTCTGTCCTGTTTCCTCAAATAATCAGTTTCAAGCCAAATAGAATATTCCAGTTGGAGCACAAAGAGAAACTTTGGCCACTGGTGAGAATACCTGAGAGACACACATGCCAAGGAGACCCCTGAAGTTAGTGAGTTTTAACAGATTGACGTGAGTGAATGGCCTCCTGTGAAGTGTTGGTGAGGAAACCCCTCACATCTTACACCCACTGGCCCATGGGCCTCCAATACAGTTAGTGAGACCACCCTGGCCTCCTCTCATTCTAGGCCTTCACCTGCTCTCATGTTTCCCAAAGCGAGGTTGATAAAGTTCACACACTACCATGGGCCTTGGTCCCTTGGTTGCTTCTGGAGAAAAACCAGTGTTTTGGGCAAACTATTGTTAAAGGAACTAAACCAGGATCTGGTGTACAGTGAGTGTGGTATAAATGTCAGCTTATTTGCTTTCTTACTGATAAATATCTAGTTTTAATTTCTCAGAGGCTCACATACAGATATGCGTTACCTTGGTTTAGTCTATGAGATAGTTGCTATTCCTTCTTTTACAAAGGAAACAACTGAGGCACAGAGTAGTTAAGTAACTTGCCCATGGTCACACAGCTTATAAGAAATATGATGTGAACTCTCCTTATCTGGCTGTACACCCTGTGTTCTGTTTTGTTTTTTGTTTTTTTAGGGAGAGAGAACGCGTGCATGCGTGCACATGTGAGCGGAGGGGGCGGGGGAGCAGAGAGAGAGGGAGAGAACCTTAAGCAGTCTCCATGGCTCAGCATGGAGCCCAATGCGGAGCTCGATCTCACAACCCTGAGATCATGACCTGAACCAAAATCAAGAGTCAGACACTTAGCCAACTGAGCCACCCAGGCACCCCAAGACCCTTTAATAACCATGTGAAACCAAGTACCACTATGTCTATAGATTATAGACATATAGCTAGTCTGCAGGATTCAACACTGTCAGTGAGTCAGTTTCAGAATTTCCATTCCGAAATCAAGTTACTCTATCATAATCAGCAGTTTTTAAAAAGCAAGATAGATGAATGGACCAGAACACAAAAGAATTTATCAGAGTACATTGCACCTAGTAAGGTAAGTATCAGCTTGTAAAACCTCTATTTAACAGTCAGTGTCTATTTGTGCATACTGGGTCACAGTGCAAATGCTTTTCTTACTATGGATACAGTTGAAACAACTGGAAAACTGCTCCTTTAGGCCTCTTGTGGGTAGCTCTAAGTCCCCCTTCCTCTGACACCACCTCACACACTGACGTCCCTCTCAATAAAATGACTCAGAAACTACCTTGAACCAGAAGCCGTGTCCAGATGGTCTTGACCATAGTGTTCATGGCATTTGAAGCCCATTTTAGGGTGCCAAGGGTGTGACCATCCTCTTCTACCTCATCTCCTTATGTTTTATGACTCTTTGGTACAATCTTGCTTCTGTGGGGCCAGGCCATTGACAGTTCCACATTGCTCATTCTCATTGTCATGGCTATTTGAAATTCTGCAATTAATTAAATAGGAATGTTAGGGAAATGGATTACAGGATCTTAGGGCATGCGACTCTTGATCTCAGGGTCGTGAGCTCAAGCCCCACATTGGGAGTAGAGATTACTTATTAAAAAGAAAAAAGAAAAAAAATCACTGCATGGATTATAGGATCTTGGTGGACTTTATCTCTTCGTGGAATCCAGAGAACCTCAGAGAAAAGGATGTCTCTTTAAGCCTGCCTCAAAGGTGTACATGTACCTCCCCCACCAACCCCAGGACCATATTTCACAATATTATCCCTATATCAGTCCCCACTGCTGTTTTAAGTTGATCACATACAGTTGGGCAGGCTGTAGAGAAACATACATGATAATCCTACCTCAAGTGACAGTAATGTGAAGGAAGGGACATTAGCAAGAGACAAGATTTGTTGCTTGTTTCTGCAACTTTATATGGTATCTTGGAAGGTCTTTGTGATCCTTTGTGTCTGTCACCATGTCCAGCACTCCCATTATTGTGTTGTACACACCATAAATCTTATGGGAATCTTCTCCATACTTTTTTTTATGCTTTGAGAGAGAGTGTGTGAGTGGGAGGAGGGGCAGAGGGAGAACAAGAGGGAGAATCCCAACCAGGTTTCATACTCAGCATGGAGCCCCATGTGAGGTCGATCTCACGCCCCTGAGATCATGACCTGAGCCAAAATCAAGAGTTGGATGCTTAACCGACTGAGCCAGCCAAGCACCCCTTCTCCATTCCTTTTGTAGCAAAATGATTAAAGGGTTTTATCAGCTGCTCTTATAGGAGGGAGGTGAATCTTTCTTTATAAATTGTTCCCAGGATTTCTTTTGATTTCTCTGCAACATCTGATTTTTAATTGGCAGCTCATAGATTAGAAGTACTGTGATTCTGACTGTTTCCATATCAATAGGAACCAGTGACAGCTTTCCACCCCATCCTACTTCATTTCTCAAAACCTCTGGAGGGATGACTTACTTGTTCTCTTAGCCAAATTCTCTTTCTCCTCATAGGAGACAGGATTAAAAACAACATTTCACATCTTCAGGGAAAAGGGTTGAGTTATCTCTCTCAAGAAGTGCTCTACTGCTGGCAGATTTGGAAACAAAGGATCAGTGAATTAACTGTGAGTCAGGAGTATGTCATGAATCTTCAAGGAAATTATCCCCAGCATTTAGAAGGAGATGTTTCTCTCTGTGAAGAGTGGGCAGGAGTGTCTCTTCAGATTTCTGAAAATGAAAACTATGTAATAAATGCCATTAATTTAGAAAATCAAGATGGCACAGAAGGGAAAGGCCTGACACGAGTCTTTACCCCAGAATCTTGGAAGGGAGCCAACATGATGACTGAGCCCCAGAATTCTCAAGGACAATATGAGAGAATTCATGTGGAAGAGAAACTGTATGGATGTGCTCAGTGTGATGACATCAGTCAGACATCATGTGATCATGGTGATTCCCAAGAATGTAAAGAAGAGGAACCTTGTAGATACACTGACTGTGGGAAACACTTGGCTATGAAATCAACAGCCAAACAACATAACGTGGCTCCTGTGGTACCACAACCTGTCAAATGTAATAACTATGGTGTGGGCTTCATAGATGGTGCAGACCCTCCTGTTCATCACAGTGCTCACATAGAAAAGTCTTGTAGATGTGACCAGTGTGGAAAGGACTTTAGTCAGAGCTCAGATCTTATTGTTCACTATAAAGCTCATTCAGATGACAAAGCTTATGAATATCAAGAGTGGGCAGAGGGCTGCAAGCAGAGCCCAGACCTTCCCAGATATCAAAAGGTCCCCTTGGGAGACAAACCCTATAAATGTCTCGAATGTGGCAAGGTCTTCAGGCGCAACTCCTCTCTTCACAACCATCACCGGGTCCACACAGGGGAGATGCCCTATAGATGTGATGTGTGTGGGAAAGGGTTCGGATTTAGGTCACTTCTTTGTATTCATCAGGGAGTCCACACAGGGAAAAAGCCCTATAAATGTGAGGAGTGTGGGAAGGGCTTTGATCAGAGCTCCAATCTTCTTGTCCACCAGAGAGTCCACACTGGAGAGAAGCCCTACAAATGCAGTGAGTGTGGCAAATGCTTCAGTTCAAGCTCTGTTCTTCAAGTCCACCGGAGGCTGCACACAGGGGAGAAGCCTTACAGGTGCGGTGAGTGTGGAAAGGGCTTCAGCCAGAGCACACACCTCCACATTCACCAGAGAGTCCACACAGGGGAGAAGCCCTATAAATGCAACGTGTGTGGAAAGGCTTTTGCATACAGTTCAGTTCTTCACACTCATCAGAGGGTTCACACGGGAGAAAAGCCTTACAAATGTGAAGTGTGCGGTAAAGGCTTCAGTTATAGTTCATATTTTCACTTACATCAAAGAGACCACACCAGACAGAAACCATATAAATGTGATGAGTGTGGTAAGGGCTTCAGTCGGAATTCAGATCTTCATGTGCACCTCAGAGTCCACACAGGAGAGAAGCCCTATAAGTGTAAAGAATGTGGGAAGGGCTTCAGTCGTAACTCATATCTTCTCGCTCACCAGAGAACACATGCAGACGAGGTGCAATATACATGTAGTGAGCCTGGCAATGGCTTTAGTTATAGCTCAGACCTTCTTACTCATCAAGGACTACAGAAGAGGACAGAAACGTACTCAATGTAATTCTGAAAGGGGCCAATCAGGAAAGCAAGCAAGTCTATGTATTCCAGGTGATAGAGGCTTACTCAGTCATTGGGAGGGCTGGGGCAGCAAAGGACAAGGACGCTGCCACCCATCATGTCATCCTGCAGCTCTGAAGCAAGGGTTCTTAAGAGCATTCCAGGGACCTACTGTGGATCTCAAGAACTTCTTCAAAACTCCCATCAACTGTCATATGCTGCTGTGGCAAAGTAGTGATAATTGACAGATGGACGGTTTGTGGCAATGACAATAATTGGAGATCAAATTTCCGTGAATGGATCTGCCCAGGAAGGAAATTATAATTGAGATGGGTACAAGTGAGGACTTAAGGCCAGTCAAAATCTGTAGATTTTTTAAAGAGAGTACCCACTAGAAAGATATTCAAAAGAGTGCTCAGAAATGAAACCCATGTTATTAGTGTGGTAAGAATGTTAGTCCATTCTCAGGTTTTCAAATCCATTAGATTTTCTACACAGGGAGAAGCTCTATAAAAGTGATATTTTACGGGCATGGCTGTGTGTTTATCTCGGTGGTTCTATTTCTCGGATCCCATAGAGACTCCCATTTCCCAGAAACCCTTGCAGTTAAGAGCTGGTCCATGTGATAGAGTGCCAAGCAACAGAGTATGAGCAAAAGTAATATAAGCTACTTCCAGACCTGGCCCTTAGAAACATCTTGTGATGTCCTCTGGCCATCTTTCCTGTCATGGTGACCTTGGAGGCTGGATTGATAAAAGGTGGCTATCTGACCTGTGCTGGACGTTGTTTTTCTTGAGTAAGAAATAAACATTTATTGTGTTATACTACTGATATTTTGGCAGTTTATTTGTTGCTAGTATTGCCCAGGCTATGCCAACTATGACAGAGGGATTTAACAGCAACATATTTCACGGTCATTGGAGTTCACAGAAGAAAGCAACTTTATAATTGAGTTCAAAACTTGTAAGTCGTTAAGGCTATATGTGGCAGTGCAGCTGTCTAAAATGGTGTGGCTAGGACTTCTTCAGTGAGAATCTTCATTCATTGGTCTGTGCATAAAAAAGAAATGTTCCAGATAATGCACAGGTGGTAGAACTGTAGCAAAAGTGCAATCTGTAGACATAAATCCCGTGCAATAGAAAACTCTGTAAGGTGTAATAATGGGAAAAGTTTGTCAATAAGAAATTAACTAGACTAGATGTCCTGCAGGTAGTCTTAATAAAGTGAATTAAGTAAAACTAATATTTAATGAAGTGGCTAACAACTTACAGAAGATCAAGAGTGTTCATCGTCAGAAGCTGGCAGCACCACTTCTCAACAATCTTTAATAAAAATGGGGTTTTATTTTTTTTATTTTTTAAAAGATTTTATTTATTTGAGAGAGAGAGAGAGAGAACACATGAGAGGGGGAAGGGTCAGATGGAGAAGGAGACTCCACACTAAGCAGGGAGCCCAGTGCGGGACTCGATCCTGGGACTCCAGGATCATGGCCTGAGCCGAAGGCAGTCGCCCACCCAACTGAACCACCCAGGCACCCCTATAAAAATGGGGTTTGAGAAGGTGCTCATTTTGTCAAGTTCCTTCCATAATTGTGATTTAATTTGGGATTATAGATGGTTTTGGGAGGAGGAGATATATCCACAGTATCTTTTTTCATCTTCACAAATAATGTCTTTTGTTGGTATCTTAGTTGACCTATAGGTTTCTTCATTTGGATCATCTTTTCTTCCTAGTTTTTCTTACATTATGATTTCCTATGAGTTATGGTTTATATATGGAACAGCCATTCAAAATCAAATAAAACCATCCCTAAAATGTTGCTTTCTTACTGATCCAGGTGAGCAACAGTGAAACATTAATAAAACCCAGTGTCAGTAAGGGAATGGAAAAACCAGCGGTTGGTGGGAAAAAAATACAGGTGCAACATTTCTGGAGAGGAATTTGTCTATATGTATCAAAGCGTATAAAGTGCATTATCTTTGAATTAATAATTCCACTCCTCAGAATTTATCTTTACAGTATAATTGCACAAGTGGGGAAAGATGGGTTTCAGAAGGGAATATATTCCAAGAATATTTACAATAATAAAAGTTGTAAACAACCTGAAGATACGTAAAAGATTGAATAAATTATGGTACTTACAAAAAATGAAACAAAATATCACCATTAAAAATGATGTAAAAATTTCCACATACAGTTTGGAGAAAAAAATCACGTTGTAAAAGATCATTACGGATGACCCCTGACTTGATACCCAAGTTTTACAGCACAGAGTAGTACTGGGAGTGGTCCCCTCCACCACTCTACGCTTCACTTTTCAGTGTTGTTTCAAGGGTTGTTTGGACTGTTTAATCCAAGTGAGGATATGCATAATGCAGGAAATGCTTTCCCAAAATTATTTTCCTTTCTCTATATTCAGATGCTTGTGATAACAATTTTGTCACTAGACATTCACCAATCCTTAATATGATGTTTTTCCCTAATGGGTTGTGAGTAGAGCTCATGGTGGAGAGGGTAGGTTGTTTGGAGAAAGCAAGTCCTGGTGGAAGATTGTGAGGTTTTGCTTTAGAAAGTTGCTGCCAGAGATGGAAGGCAATGGGCTTGACCTATCACCAGGTGGCTGCTGTAATATAGTTCCTTGCATGGGCAATTACTGTAAATGGACTGTGGGAAAGCCAGCTGTCCTCTTACTACGTGGCCTTCCTTTGTGTTTCTGTGCTGATTATTCCATGTTTTACAATCCTTGGCTTACTGACCCTCATCTTGTATGTCTTCCTATGTAACCCAACTTTTACAGACCAGTAGCTAGGACTTTGGAAGTGGCAATGATTGCAGTTCAGTCTAGGGGCAAGTTACTGCCTTTAAGTTCCAAATTCACCCTTTGGTACATACTCTATAATAATGAAAGACATTTCTTTGAGCATTTCTCCTTTGCAGTAAACACAATGTTAAGCTTTCTCAGCAGAGGGTGTTTGAGGGAGATTGCAGGAGGGAGGGATCTCCTGATGTCTGTAGCAGCTGCATGACTGGTCAGCAGTGTGGAAGTGAGGACATCTGGTCCTACTCTGCACTAGCCAAACATCCAGAATGCACAGTCCCTTGATGATCCTGCAGCTCTAGCCTGTTGATCACATTCCCATGGACCTCTGGATGTGGACCCTGCACATTCTAGGACTTCTACCCACAGGCACACCCATTCCCTTTGCACATCCGTACCTGGCCACTGACTGTGGCTCAACTGTTCCCCAAATGGATGACATCTGCACCCTTCCTCATTCTGCATGCCCATGCATCCCAACACCCATTACAACTTGCCTACAAACCACCCACACCCTAGAATGTTGCTTCCCACTTGACCAGCAACCAGGGACCACCTCTGACTCAGGCAAAACAGAAAACTTCTTTGCCATCCAGTAGGCTACGGCTGTATTTTCTTCATAAAGTCTGATGTTTGTCCAAGTTTGTCTTTCCTTGGATACTCTCAGTATTGTACCACATAGGGTTTTAAAATGTTGTACAATTACTTTTTTTAAAGTTTAATAATTTGTATATTAAATTTCCATTTTAATCACTGTGTGGTTTCTGTCTCCTTATTGGACCCAGACTGATCAGGTGGCAACTGTAATTGCTGTTTCAATGGGAGTCTTAAGGTCAAAGAGTACAGTGAGATTCAGGTAATTCAACAGTGGTGAAGGAGAAAATACAAGAAATATACTCTGTCAGTCTTGATAGTTGCAGACATAAAAAGGGCTTGGAAGACTGGCCTCAACATCTATAGGCAAACTGGAAGGCATGATAAGAAGCCTGGTGTGGGACATCTTGGTGAACAGGTTTCTTACACCTGATTTGGACAGAGCTATTCTAGGGAATAAAGTTGTATCTTTTTTTTTTTTAAAAGATTTTATTTATTTATTTGACAGAGAGAGACACAGCAAGAGAGGGAATACAAGCAGTGGGAGTGGGAGAGGGAGAAGCAGGCTTCCTGCCGAGCAGGGAGCCCGATGCAGGGCTCGATCCCAGGACCTGGAATCATGACCTGAGCCGAAGGCAGACGCTTAACGACTGAGCCACCCAGTCACCCCAATAAAGTTGTATCTTAATAAGATTATCTACTATCAATAAGATAATATCAATAAGATAATATGAATGTGGTAAAAGGGTAAGTCAGGGGTGAAATCCACAGTAATCATGGTTTGGTATTTACCAAAGAAAGAGACTTCTGGGGTCCAGAGTTGGTGCAACTTTTCCTCAGGACAGAGATCAACCTTCGGCCTTGGCGTAGGTGCCACAAACAATATTCCTGTTTGGCCAGGAGAAGCCCTTGCATGTCACATTTAGCTCTTGCTCTCAGCTTTCTTGAGGTATAATTGATACACAAAAACTGCAGATATTTAATGTATACAATTTTTTTTTAAAGATTTTATTTATTTATTTGACAGAGAGAGCGAGAGAGGGAACACAAGCAGGGGGAATGGGAGAGGGAGAAGCAGGCTTCCCGCTGAGCAGGGAGCCCGATGTGGGGCTCGATCCCAGGAGCCTGGGATCATGACCTGAGCCGAAGGCAGACGCTTAACGACTGAGCCACCCAGGCGCCCTAATGTATACAATTTAATGAGTTTAGACATGTGCATACACCTGTAAAACCATCACAACAATCAAGGTAATAGACATATCTATCACCTCCAAAAGTTTTCTTCTGTCTCTTTTTTTTATTATGATTTTTTTTTTTTTTTTGGTGCTAACATGAGATCTACCCTCTCAGCAAACTTTTGACTATATAATATTGTATTGTTGATTTTAGGCACTATGCTGTACAGCAGACCTCTAGAACTAATTTACCTTGCATAACTGAAACTTTACACCAGTTGAACAACTCCCCATTTCCCCCTCCCCCTGGCTCCTGGTAATCACCATTCTATTCTCTGCTCCTATGAATTTGACTAATTAGGTACCTCATTTAAGTAGAATCATGCCATTTCTGTCCTGTGACTGGCTTATTTCACTTAGCATAAAGTCCTCAACATGCTAAAGAATGAAATTGGACCCCTATCTTACAACACTCACAAAAATAAATTCAAATAGATTAAAGACTTAAATATAAAACCTGAAACCATAAAACTCCTAGAAGAAAACATAGGGGAAAACTTCTTTACATTGGCCTTGGCAGTGATTTCTTGGATATGACAACAAAAGTACAATTGACAAAAGTGAAAGTAGAAAAGTGCGATGACAACAAACTAAAAGCTTCCACACAGCAAAGGAAACAATCAAAAGAATGAGAAGGCAATCTGTGGAATGGGAGAAAATCTATGGAAAGCATATATCTGATAAGGGGGTAATGTATAAAATATAAAAACTCATGAAATCCAAAGGCAAAAACCAACACAACAACCTGATTTTAAAATGGGCACAGGTCTTGAATAGACACTTCCCAAAGAAGATGTACAAATGTCCAACAGGTTTATGAGAAGATGCTCAACATCCCTGATCACTGAAATGCAAATCAAAACCACAATAAGATATCAATTCACACCAGTAGGATGGCTATTATTAAAAACAACAACAACAACCCAAGAGATAACAAGTGTTGAGGATGTGGAGAATTGGAACTCTTCTACACTGTTTGTGGGAATTAAAATGGTACAGCCTATATTGAAAACAGCAGTGGAGATTCCTCCCCAAATTAAAAATGTAACTATAATATAATCCCATTTATGGAAATGTACCCCAAAGAACTGAAAGGCTGAGATATCTGCATTCTCATGTTCGTTGCAGCACTATTCCCAAGAGCCGTGTTAAGAAACAACCCAAATGTCCATCGACAGATACGTGGATAAAGAAAATATGGTATATACACACAATGGAATATTATTCAGCCTTAAAAAGAAGGAGATCCTGCCATTTTTTACATTTAGCTTTGTAAATAAAATTCTCGAAGAGAGTGACATCAGCAACATGGTAGAATAGGAGTTTTCTACAATCATCTCCTCACCCCATAGAACATTGATTTTGACACCACGCATGAACAAGTCTTTTCTGGAAGTCCAGGAGTCTAACAGTTCCAGCACACCTTTGAAGCAAAAATAGACCCATTGAAGAGGGTAATAACAGTTTCACTTTACCCCACAACACTCCTTCCCCAAGGTGGCACAGCCTAGTGGCAAGAGAAACTCTCTTGATTTCTTCCATGGGGGAAAGTGGGAGTGTGTGAGTGAGTACCTCTCTCACCCAGCTGTGTGGGATGCTGCCCAAAAAGCCCACTTCTTTCTCTCCTCACCCACAACATTTAGGTTATTTGGACTATTGAGAGAGCCTGGGAGCACAGAAAGCAGTGTTAAGAACTCATCAAAGGGATGCTACCAACCACTCTGCTGTTCATCCCACTAGCCCCTTTGCAGACCACATCTGGAAGCCTGCCTATAAGCTGCTGGGAACACCCCATCTGTGGACCCCCTTTCCAACTGGCTCACAGACATTCCCCCCCACACACAATGCTCTGCACACCTCACTCTGCCCCGAACATGGCTGGCTGCCAGTACGTGCTCCCCTGGATGGTGAGTGTGAGCCTTTGCAGATGGCCAGTGAGCAGCTGCAGAAAGCCATCCCAACCCTGTGAGATTGGGAGAAAACTCACAAATTTGAGAACTTCAGAGCACTGCCCTAGGGAAAACAAATGGGAAGCTCTCAGCATTCGACCTGGCTTTGAGGGATCAAGAGAAGGCATACATCTTAAGAACTTTCCCCAAGAGGGAAGAAAAGGTATGGAATGGGCACATCCATAGAACAGGTCTAAGAAAGCCTCAAAATCCTTGGCCAAACTGACTGGTGAAGGTATTTCTCTCCTGAAGCCAGCCAGTAAAGACTGGAGGAGGTGTCTTCATTAAATGCAAAACCAGCAATGCAAGACTCCAAAGAACACAAAAAATCAAGGAAATAGGATACCACCAAAGAAACAATAACTTTCCAGTAACAAATCCCATAGAAAGGTGGTCTCAGAATTGCCTGACAATTCAAAATAATTTTTTAAAGAAAGCTCAACAAGCTACCAGAGAAAACAGACAACTCAATTAAATCAGGAAACCAATGCATGAACTGGGATTTCAGCAGAGAAATAGATTTTTTTTTTTTTAAAAAAGAGTTGAACACATTCTAGAGTTGAAGAATAACAATGAATGAAATGGAAAAAAAACACAATAGAGAGTGGCAAAATGAACTTGATCAAGCAGAGCAGAGAATCTGTGAACTTGAAGACAAGTTATTTGAAATTATCCAGAGGAGAAAAATAACATATGCTCTCACTTATATGTGGAACCTAAAACAAAAAAACCAAACTCATAGAAACAAAAGATTTGTTTCCAGAGACAGGGGATGAGGAATGGTTGAAAAGGGTGAGTAGTCAAAAAGTAAAACTTCAAGTTATATATTAAGTTCTGCAGTTGTAATGTACAGCATGGTGACCATAGTTAATAATAAGGATCATATATTTGAAAGTTGCTGGGGCGCCTGGGTGGCTCAGTCGTTAACCGTCTGCCTTCGGCTCAGGTCATGATCCCAGGGTCCTGGGATCGAGTCCCACATTGGGCTCCCTGCTCAGCCAGGAGCCTGCTTCTCCCTCTCCCACTCCCCCTGCTTGTGTTCCCTCTCTCGCTATGTCTCTCTGTGTCAAATAAATAGATAAAATCTTAAAAAAAAAAAAAAAAGAAAAGTTGCTAAGAGAGTAGATCTTAAAAGTTCTAATCACCAGAAAAAAATTATAACTATGTGTGGTAATGGATGTTAACTAGACTTATTGTGGTGATCCTTTAACTATATATATATATATATATAATGGTAATGGTTTCCTTGCTTTAAGCCCTGTCTGTTTTTACATATTTGCTGTTATTTCTTTTTGTTTTTCTTTCCAAAGGGAAACTTGGATTTTTGCATTGGTTTAATTTAAGGGAATATGGTTTCTTGTTCAAATATTTCCAGTCCCTTCTATGAAGTATTCTTACCTCCCCTAATGACCCTGTATCCAACCTAGCCTTCAAATAAAAATTCTACTTTACAGGAAATTTAGAAGATTGGGGGAGAAAGTGTGAGGAGGCCATTAGACAAATGCAAACTTGGATACCTAAGTGGACATCTTGTTTTCTACAACAGTCCAAGAACATGAAAAATGATGATGATATGTGTTGGGGAGCATAGATACAGTTTTAGGATAAATGAGTTTCAGGTGAGATGATCAAATACAATAATCTGTTTGGATATTGACTGGAATGAACTAGCTGTAAAAAACATTTTTTTCCAATAAACAGGAACTCAAACTGGCATACAGATTAGATAATACTAAGAATTGTCATTTTGTTTCATAAGGTAATGATTTTGTGTGTACATAAGAAAATACTGTTATTTTTAAGTGATGTAGTATTTGGAAGGAAATAACAATGTCAAAGAATAGCTTTAAAATACTTCAGAAACAAAATTTAAAAAATGATAAGTGAAGCCAGTGTGGGAAAATTTTTTTAAGTGTAGAAGTTAAGTGTTTCATTTTACTATCCTCAATACTTTTGTATAATTGTTTCATTTAAAAACTGTTTTCTGCCCAGAAGGAAAGTGGTAAGTACATACTTCCTATAGTTTCACCTGTCACAGTTACCTGA